ATTTAAACCAAATTTTAAGTACTAGTTTCTAGGTTGAATTCAGTCGTAATTGCCAAAATTCAATCCATTTTGGCTGATATTAGCCATTTGATGCACAATAAACCTGATATCGGATAAAGATATATGTGGGAGTTATATCCTAATCTGATCCCATCTCGATAAAATTTGACAGATATATTTTCGAGCCGTATCCGATATCCGGTACCAAATATCATTCTTCTGGAGTGCATACTACACATGTGAGAGACTTAAATCGCCAATTCGAATGGAACGTATATATGGAAGCAATAGCTATATCTAAACCGATTTTCTCCAAAATTTGATATACTTGTTTCTAGACTGAATGCGGTCGGATGCGCCAAAATTCAGGCTATTTGGACTGATATTGCCAATTGGGTGCATAATTAACCCGAAATCGGTTGAAGATATATATAAGAGAGCTATGTCTAAATTTAAACCGATTCTCACCAATTTCAATAGGGTTCGTCCTTGGGCCAAACAAATGTTGGTTGGAAAATTTCATCTCAATCGGATAATAAATGCGTCCTGCATTTTGTTCACTAGAATACATGGACAGACGAAGGACGGACTGACATGCATAAATCGACTCAGAAAATGATTCTATGAATATCCTCAAAAGTAACTATGGGTCTGGCCTTCCTCTCCATGTTACAAACAAATGCACAAAGACATAATACCCTTACCACTACGTGGTATCGGGTATAAATGTTTAGTTACACACATCGTAACAGAATTAACAAATCATCTGCTGGCAATTAATTACTCCCCCCCCCTGGTCTGTTGTATTCTCCCTCTGGACTCAATTGAAAAAAGTAAAAACACCCATTATTTTGTCGTTAATTTGTTTACAATAATTTGCTTTAATTAAAAAATTACAAGTTGTGATAATTAATTAAAGTGGTACGAACCAAATTTGATTGGCTTTGTTCACACCATGACCGTGTAAAACAGCTATAAGTTGTTAATAATTATTTGATTGGTCAACCGATAGTTTATTGTCCATGTCAGTTTGAATAAAATCGTCGAAGTAGATTAATTTATGAACAACTAGTTATCGTTGCTGTGTGTTACAAGAATGCGGAATCATAATGACGATTTCTGGCCAATGGTAATGATGGTTTCCTCAATTGAATTTCGGATGATTTGTAGCCGTATTACCGTTTGCAAACGAGGATGAGGTGTTTATCGGTGTTTAAATAGTTAACGTCGAAGGGTAACCTAAATGGGAAATAGAAAATTACAGTGCAATTTTAGGTATGTCAACTGAAAAAATATTCTTTTTATTCGAGTTAGTTTCAGAGACAATAAGGCCACATACGCTGTTGTGGCTAAATATTGAAACTTTATGCCTGAGTTGTGTCAAATTCCTATTGAGAATGGTAGCTCTTGGGGAGCATATTAAATAGACCACATAACAAGTTAGCCATTTTTGATTGTGGTGTGCCAACAAATCAATTGATGAATATTTTTCTTGAACAGTTCGTTTCTATAACTCAATGCCTTCAACACGATGGGTTTGCTTGGCCGAAAGTGAAGTGGTGAACTACCGAATTTGGTTTTTTCCGATGAGAAAACATTCGTTATCCAGCAGTTTGTAAACAAACAAAATTATCGTGTTTATTTCCCAAAGAGGTCAGCTGAAAATGTGTACTTAAAATTTGGTGTAAATCGGTTCAGATATAAGTATAGCTTCCATATATATTTTTTATCCGATTGGGGGTTTAAAGTCCCTCACAACAATGATATTTGTTACCAGAAGTCAGATACAGCTCTGAAAAAAGTGCATCAAATTTTGCCAAGATCGGTTTAGATTTGAATATAGGCCCCATAAATATCCTCAACGAATTTCAGAACAAAAAAAAAAAAAAAAAAAAAAAAATTTGCTGTGAAAAAGATCTGCCAATAGAACTTGAGTCGAACCCGGAGAATTTCTAGTGTATAATTCCCATATGCTAATTTGCAATAAGTTCGAAATATATACTACTTTCCAGAGAACGGCCCTTGTAAGCCATCATCCACACCAAATATGCCTGATGAGCCGCTTAACCAACGGCGAAACGCGTCGCATAGTGGTGAGTGTGTGATAGTGTCTATCTGGCTTTCCATTTCACTGCAAATCTCAGATCATTAAGTTCGTCTCGAAAGAGAAATCAAACACAATTTCGGGTTGATTGTGCACCAAATAGCCAATATCAGTCCAAATGACCTGAATTTTGGCATATCTGACCGAACTGAGTCTAGAAGCAAGTACATTACATTAAATTGGTTTCGATATAGCTATAGCTCCCATATACAGGTTGAGGTAAAAACCAACAACAAAGTCAAACGCCTTAATTTTTAATTTTCTTTTAGTTTATTGAATGAAAGCAAAAAATGTTGGAAATATCATCAAATTTTAGAATAAGTTTAGATTTGTCACACGCTGCCCGAATGTTGCTCTGCGGTATTTTTTCCCATTCCCTACGAAGCGCTTACTTGAGGTGATCGACACTTTGGTATTTTTTGTAGTGCCAACCTTGATTTTCAAAATACTCCAGACACAATAGACCGACGAATTGGTATCCGAAGATTTTGGTGGCCATTGTACGCTGGAAATGAAGCGAGGAACCTCATCTTGTAACCATTCTTAGGTGGCACGTGTTGAGTGCGATGGCGCGTCCTGTCCTGTTGGAATGTCCAAGATCTGCGGCCAAAATCTTTGCGAGCCCAAGGCTTTAATACACCCTCCAAAATATTTTCGCGATAATATTCGTCATTTATTCTGATGCCACGGTCGATTAAAACGAGCGGAGAGCGACCACCATCGGCTGTTATGGCGGCCCACATCATCACCATGGCCGGCGCTTGTGTTCTGGTCCACATTTTCAGCTGACCTCGGCAAGTAAACAGGATCATTTTGTTTGTTTACAAACTGCTCGACAACGAATGTTTTCTCATCGGAGAAAACCAAATTCGGCAGTTCAACACTTTCGGCCAAGCGAAGCAACTCTTTAGCTCTTTTGAGTCTGTTTTCTTTCTGTTGCGGTGTAAGTTCTTGCGCTTTTTGGAATTTCAATGGCATTACCCCGAGCTAATTTCTCAATATTTGCCGAATGGAATATTGCGATATGTTCAGCTCACGAGCCATTTTTCAGTCACTGAGATGCGGGTTTCGATCAAGTCGCTTCTTTACTTTTCGAACCATTTCTGCTGATGTTGTTGTTTTCTTCGGTCCAATTCCTTGACGTCGGGCTACGCTAACAGTATAACGGTGACGAGCGATGGTACGAGACACAAACGATTTATTCACATTTAAATGCTGGAGTGCTCTAACGATAGCCACTCGTGGTTTTCCAGCCAAATATAAAGAAATCATACTATCACGCTTGAATTCCATCACGAATAACTTTTTTTTCTGGAAAATTCTCACCAAAATACTTTTGGACGCTTGTAAATAATATAATGAGCTGTCACTGGAATAATTTTAACAGCTATCGGACGAGTGGCTTGGAAATTACAGCAGTCTGAAATTAGTTGCAGATTTTGCATCTCACCCGGTATGAGGTTTTGATCAAAAAATGTTTGTCAAACTGATTATATTGTGCATTTGGAACGAATCTAAAATATTAAGGTGCACTTTTCGCTGACCAAGTAGCGGGCACATGCTATTCAAGTACGAATTGATCAAGTAGCGGGCACATGCTATTCAAGTTGAACATTGATGTGTTCCAAAAAGGTTTGATGCAATGTCACAGCAATTTGTTTTCGTTCATTTCTTGGATTTTTGTAACAGGCAGGTATTGTAGAGGGTATAAAAAACTAAATACATTTAACGTCTTTAAAAATTTTTCAGAATTGAATAATAATTTTTTTCACAATTCCAGCTCCAGTTTGTATTGTTTGGAAAATATAGTTTCGAATATTTAAATAATAATGAAATATGAAATAAAAGCTAGCGGCAGTAGTTTCGTCTGGCCATCGATGGATGGATGATTAACTACAACAACAACAGCCAAATATTTTTGTATATAGTTTTTTGTTGTTATTGTCCGCCCCCTTTTTTATTTGTTGTTAAACTGGTTTTTTCTGTGTTTGTTTTGGACATAAAACTATCAATTTTTATACCCTCCACCATAGTATGGAAGGTATATTGGGTTTGTCATTCCGCTTGTAACACCTCGAAATATACATTTTAGACCCCACAAAGTATATATTTTCTTGATCAGCATACAATTCTAATTCTAAGCCGATTTAGAGATATCCACCCGCCTGTCCGTCTATTCGTCTGTGGAAATCACTCTAGCTTCCGAACGAATTGAAGTAGATTGATAAAATTTTACTCAAATGTGTATTATGTCTTCAGGACTTTTGATATTGAAAATGGGCCATGTAGGTCCACGTTTTGGTATAGCCCCCATATAACGGTACCTCCCGATAATCGGTATTTTGATGATTTTAGCGACAATATTCATCAGTATTCTTTCAAATCTTGTATTTGATGTTTGTAATGGGTGCTACAGCCTATGACAGGCGATTGTCTTTGCAGGTCCACGTCTTCGTATAGCCCCCATATAAGGGTACCTCCCTATATTCGGTATTTTGATGATTTTAGCAACATTATTCACCGGAATTGTTTCAAATTTGGTATTTGAAGTTCGCAATGAATACTACAGCCTAAGACAGAAAATTGTCTGTGCAGGTCCAAGTCTTCGTATAGCCCCCATATAACGGTACCTCCAGATAATCGGTACTTTGATGACTTTAGCTACATTATTATTCGATTTTTTTCTAAGTTTCGCATTTCGCAGTTCCATGACGTCGTATTGACCCTAATATCAAGCTACATTCGGTATTTCTAAGATTTTAACAGAATTAACGGATTTTATTTTTGTTTTTTTTTTTGAGAATTGTCAAATTCGTTGCAAATGGTGGAGGGTTTTCAAAGTTCGGCCTGGCCGAACTTATAGCTTTTTTACTTGTTTTTCTACAATTTTGCTTACCTCCAGTATCGAATGATGCCAGCAGAGACATCGAAATAATATCAATTCGAAATACCAAACTTATGCCGGCATAAATGAAATCCTGAGGGTTCAGCCAATTGCCACGTTTGGTGTCGGGCAAAAACGGCTGCCGTCCACTTTCGTAGGACGATTCATAGACCATGATGATCTGGGTTTACGTTGGCTTTTCGCTTCAAATTAGTTTGCCAACAAACACTCAATGGAAATACCGAATTACCGCTGAACACTCGAATGTTTTCAATATACCGCACTTCCGTAGAATGTCTCGCGTTTAAACAAATTTCAAAATAGTGACTTAATTGATTCCATTGTTTGAGTTCTAATACATGTTTTGAGTTTTTTTTTCGGTTTGATTTGGATTTGATGTTGTTTTTTTGTTTTCGGTTGTTGGCTTGCTTGTTTTGATAATAATTAATAATTTTATTCCGCACTGACAATTAGTCGAAGCTCTGGCGAGCAACTGATGAGCAGATTTCCTAAACAGAAAATTTACTGACAAAATAAAAAAATAAAAAAAAAAAAAAAAACAAAAAATCAACGACTACGACAATGTAATTATTATCAGCTGTTGGAATAGAAGTATTGTTGTTGTCAGTCAGTCATACAAAAATGGAGATCATTATGATCATCATTATCGCCTTTGTTATCAGGATGCAAATGCAAATCACATTGACCTTGATTTCTCTAAGGCTATGGTATTGAAAAAAAAAATTCTACTTATTTATGGTATTTTTTTTTAATTTTAATTAATTAAATCATTTTGATTTTTCCATTTCGGTGAAAAGCTAAGAAAATAGATTGCAAATAAAACGTGGAATACATTTTAATTAGGTTGTACACCCAGAAAATAGGTTTTGGTCCCGCAAACCGTGAAAGGGGAGGGGGGAAAGTACGGGAGAAACTTTAGCTAGGCTTTGGATAATCTATATTACTGGAAGAGTAAAGTAATTGACTGACTGGCTGATTGACCGACTTACTTAACGACTCATCAACGCCCAGACGAAACGGCTGAAGCTAGAATCTTGAAATTTTGGGTAAGGGTCACTCTTGGCCCGAAGGTGTCAGATAAGGCTGGTTTTTCTTACGAAAAGTATTAAAAGTTATTAAATATGGTATGGTAAGTTATTATTGTATTTGAGGTATTTGAGGTCACTGAAGGAGTGGATGATAGATGTAAAAAAGGGTTTTTGGATATTCGCAGTATGAGTGTACGAAAAGTACTAAAATGTACTACTGGCACCATTTCGCATCATGTGAACGGTTAAAGCTAGAAACTTGAAATTTGGAATGGAAATCAAGGTGGAGGAGTAGAGTCGATATAAGGAGATAGTTTTGGAAGTGTTTACTCATGGATACGAAAAGTACTAAACGGTACTAAATTTAGTACAATTTGAATTTTGAGGAACGGATGGAGCTGAAATCCTGAAATTTGAAATTAACATTATTGGCGGAGAGTAGGATTGGGATATAGAGGAAGTTTTCGAAATTTGTACTTATACGCACGAAAAGTACTAAATTGTACTTAATTTGGTACAATTTGGATTTGGCTAAGCCGATAGGGCTAAAATTCTGAAATTTATAATAAAGATTAGTGGTGTGGTCTAGGATAGGGTTATATAGGAAGTTTTGAAAATTCGTACTTATCTGTACTAAATTTGGTACAATTTGAATTAGGAAGATCGGATGGAGCTGAAATCCTGAAATATGAAATCAATATTAATGGTGTAGTGTAGGATTGGGTTATGTAGGAAATTCGTATTTATCTATACTATATGGTACTAAATTTGGGACAATTTGGACTAGGAAGAACGGATAGAGCTGGAATACTAAAATTTGAAAATAACGTTACTGGCGGAATGTATGATTGGTATATGGAAGATGTTATCGAAATTTGTACTTATGTGCACGAAAAGTACTAAGTTTAGTACAATCCCGATTTAGGTGAACCGATAGAGCTGGAATTCTGTTTAGAAATAGAATTACTATTGCATTCTAGGATTGAGAAATGTAGGTACTTTTCGAAATACGTACTTATGCGTATTAAATGGTACTAAATTTGGTACAATTTAAATTTTGGAAGAACCAATAGAGTTGGAATCCTGAAATTTGGAAAAAAGATTTTTGAGAAATGTTTTGGAAATTCACACTTATGTGTACTAAATGGTATCCAGAAATTTAGAAATAAGATTTCTATTGGACTGCATGATGTAGGTAGTTATGAAAAATTCAACTTCAGTGTACTTTAGTACTAAAATTGGTACAATTTGGATTTGGGTGAACCAAAAGTGCTGGTATCCTGAAAATTAGAAAAAATATTATTGTCGGGTTGTAGGTTTAGAATAAGTAGGCAGTTTTGGAAATTTGTATCTATATGTACTTTTGGGACAAATAGGATTAAGGTGAGCCGATAGAGCTGGAGCTTTGGAGTTAATATTACTGCTGGGGTGTAGGATTGGGTTATATAGAAGTTTTGGAAATTCGAACTTATCTGTATTATATGGTACAAAATTTGGTTAATCCTCTAGGGCTAGAATCCTGAAAATTGGAAATAAGATTACTCTCGGAGTGTGGGATTGGGATATGTATGGAATTCCGAATTTTTATATTAAGGTCACTGTTGGTGCAAGCGGTTAATATATGAAGGTGGTTTTGGAAATATGTACTAATTACAGTACTAAATTGGGTATTTGAGGAAGAGATAGAGCTGACATCTTAAAATTTGATCGGTTCCGAAGGTGGAAATTTTATCCCAACTCAACTCCCAATAAGTCTATTGTTACGCGTATTGTGTGGCACCTCTTGTTGAAACCCCATGGATATCATGTCGCGGTATAGCCTACACAACTGTGAAAGTTCACACATATTTGTAGAATTAGGGTCCAGCATATTACAGCATATTTGTAGAATTAGGGTCCAATGATGCCACCAGACCATAACCGCAACAAATTGTGTCTTTTTCTGGATGCATGGGTAGTTTTTGCAATACATTTGTGTGATCTTCGACAATTTTACAAACATTCCTTTTAAAAAGTCTTAAATTTCAACTTTCTTCAAACACCTTTTCACCGTCCCCACACTGAACACATTTTTTTCAATATTTTTTTATTTAATTAATTATTTCAGTCTTTATTAAAAATATACATATTTAATTATTTAAATTTAATTTAAGCATTTTCAACAATATTTTCATCATCGAACACTTCATCATCCCATTTTAGATCCGTTAGAGGATGCGACATATTGGAACTATTTACGGTCTCCTCATATCGCACACGTTCTTCGGCTTCGATGGGATACCAATCGTTCGGGCGGCAGCATTTCAAAAAACGTTCCTTCAAAGTACCCTGTGATCGGTACAGGGTGTAGATGATAAAGCCCGGAATTGAGAACCAAGGCAACAGCTTTATGAAAACATCAAAGAAGTTGGTGGAATGACCGCTAAAGGCGTAATTGAATAGGATTATGAATGATACAACAACCTGGAAAGAAAAATATAAGAAAAATTTAAGTAACTCAAATAATACTCAAATCATAAAAAAATTGGAAATTTAAAATATTATGTGGGAATACGCACTGACTCAAAACATAAGAGGATGATAATTAAAAAGGTGTTTCAAATGTGACAATTTAGGCAGATTTTTTTTTTCTGAATGTAAGGGCCGATTACACATCATGTTAGAGTCCCATGTATAGTGATTTTCTACATTAAACATTTTTATAGCATGCTTTTAAGAGCTGATTTAAAATAAATACTATACTTACATATTTATCATATCTATAATATTCTCACACAAAAAATATATTAATATACCCTATACTATAAAACATTTTTCTCTGACCTAAAATTTCTGAGGAAAGCCTAAAAGTATGCTATAAAAATCCTAACGATGTAAATTTGACTTCACGTATGACTCTAATATACATTGGACTGCAAGTATGACTCGTACTTTTTATACCCTACACCACATAGTAGAAAGGGTATTATGTCTTTGTAACATAGAGAAAAAAGCGATATAGACCCATAGTTATTCTTGAGGATATTGATAGAATCACTTTATGGGTCGATTAATGCATGTCAGTCCGTCCGTCCGTTCGTCCATGTATTTTTGTGTAGATCGCATTTTTATCCGATTCAGATGAAATTTTCCAATCAATATATAGTTCGGCCCAAGGACAAAACCTATTGAAATTGGTGATAATCGGTTCACATTTAGATATAGCTCCCATATATCTTCAGCCGATTTCGGGTTAATTGTGCTCCAAATGGCCATTATCAGTCGAAATTACATGAATTTTGGCACATCCGACCGAATTCATCCCAGAAACAAGTACTTAAAATTTGGTGAAAATCGGTTCAGATATAGCTATAGCTCCCATGTATATGTTTCATCCGATCTTTAGTAGTTAGTGTTAAAATTTTTGTCAGGATCAGATGTGGGTATAGCTCCCACATATATCTTTATCTGATTTTAGCTAATGGCTAATATTAGTCTAAATTACCTTAATTTTGGCACATCCGACCGAATTTAGTCTAGATGCAAGTGCATCATATTTGGTGAAAATCGGTTCAGATATAGCTCCACATTCGTAATATGCATTCGACAACAATGATATTTGGGTATCTTATAGATCTCGAAAATATATTTGCCGAATTGTATCAAAATTTGTTCAGATTTCGATACAGCTCCCATGTATCTCTTCAACCGATTTCGAGCTTATTGTGCACTAAATGGCCAATATCAGCCCAAATGACCTGGCACATCCGACCGAATTCAGTCTAGAAGCAAGTCCATCAAAGTTGTTGGAATTCGGTTCAGGTATGTGGCTCCTAAAGCTCCCATATATATATTTCATCCGATTTGGGGTTTAAAGTCACTCCACAACAATAATCCTTGGTGTCAGGTATCAGACACAGCGCAGAAATAAGTGTTAAAAATTTTGTCAGGATCGGATCAGATTTGGATATAGCTCCTATATATATCTTTATCCGATTTCAGGTTTATTCTAATATGAACCCAAATGGACTGAATTGTGGCACTTCTGATGGAATTCAGCACAGAAGCAAGTACATCAAATTTGGTGATAATCGGTTCAGATATAGCTATAACTTCCATACATATGTTTCATCCAATTTGGGGTTTTAAGTCCCTCACATGCGTAATATGCACTCCACAAGAATTATATTTGGTACCAAATGTCAGATGCATCTCTGCCAAATTTTATCAAGATCGGTTCAGATTCGGATATAGCTCTCACATATATCTTCAACCGATTTCGAGTTAATGGTGCACCAAATGGTCAATATCTGTCCAAAAGTCCTGAATTTCGGTACATCGAACCGAGTTCAGTTTAAAAGCAAGTAAATCGAATTTGGAGAAAATCGGCTCAAATATAGCTATAGCTCCGATATATATGTTTCATCCGAATTGGTCTTTAGGTCCCTCACATTCGTAATATGCATTCGACAACAATGAAATGTGGTTCCAGATATCTTATAGTGCTTGGAAATACCTTTGCCAAATTTTATCGAGATCGGCTAAGATTTGGATATAGCTTCCATATATACATCCTTAATCCGATTTCAGGTTTATTTTGCAAATAATTGGTGTTATTTGGTATAAAAGATTAAAATGTCTCCGTCAAATTTAGTGAAAATCTATTCAGAATTGGATATGACTCCCCTATATTAGTTCGAAACCAAATCATAACTGCTCTAAAGCCAAATGTTCAGAATTGGATATAGTTCCCAAATTATTACTACTCTAATGCCATGATACGCATTCAAATAAGGTTCATAGTTGGTATGATCTACCTCACATAAATTCCCAATATAAAATTTTTTGTTGCGGGAACTCTACTAAATGCCCATAGTGGTGTAGAGCATCATCAAGTCGACCCCGCCCGACTTTTGACCTTTCCTTACTGGTTTGTTATAAGTATGACTTCGGAGAAATTATTCAAAGAAAATTCATATAATCCAAGAAGCTTATCCAATACATGTAATTATTGGTACTTCTAGGAGTTTTCAATGCTTCTGATGCAGCACAATTTCCTTAAAGAGTTTTTTTATTCATTTTACACTCACCAATACCACCAACATGCACAATGGGGCAAAGAATCTCAAAACATACACATCCAATGTGTCGAATCGTTGATTGGTCATAAAAAATATGTCACGCTGAAAACGTTCGCGGCCATAGATCCAGGTTACCAATAAAATTAGAAGTAGATTCACCAGCGATTGACTTATGAAAGTCTCTAGCATTAGATTTACACTTGACTCGTAGCCACTCTGAAAATACGCAAGAACAATTAAACATTTGAAAATAGATCAATTATCAATTTTACAAGTTAAAAGAAGTATCGAATAATTATTTTAAAATTTTTTAGATTTGTAAACATTTAAAATGTTGACCCCTTTTTAGGGTAGATTTTTAAGAAGGGATGGGTCATAAAATTCTATATTCACATTGAATCTTAGGTCTACTGAAACATTGAGATATATTGAGTTTAAAAAGAATCACCGACATGCATCCATGTTATAAGGGTTATACGTCTTGTGTTTGTAGATAAATTTCGATGTGCAAATTTTGAAAAGAATCGGATGCTCATTTGTTCCTTTGTGGGGAGGTACCAGAAGGAGTGGTCCGCTATATCTCATCTTCTAATAAAAAAAGTTAAAACCAGTAATATGAAGTCAAAATCCGGGCGGGGCCGACTATATGATACTCTACACCACTATGCCCAATTTAATAGAGCACCCGTGACAAAAGAATTTATATTGGGATTTTTTTTTTAAAGTAGATCATACCACCTATCATCCTTTGGCTTTAGAGCAGTTATAATTTGCTTACAGAGCGAACTGATATATGGAAGGCATGTCCAATTCTGAATCAATTTTCACCAAACTTGACGGAGACATTTTTATCTTTTTATCATTGTTATAAAGTGCATGATACCACTTCGAGGAGGCTTATATTAAAAAAAATATATATCGGATGTAATCATAAGACCCGAAATTCACTCCATTTTGTCTGATATTAGCCATAAGTTGCACAATAAACCTCAAATCGGATTAAGGATATATATGGGAGCTATGTCCAAATCTGAGCCGATTTCGATAAATTTTGGCAAAGATATTTCCGAGCACTACAAAATATCTATGGGATATATATGGGAGTTATAGCTATATCTGAACCGATTTTCTCCCAATCTGATGTACTTGCTTCTAGACTGAATTCGGTCGGATGTGCCAAAATGCAGGTCGTTTGGATTGATATTGGTCATTTGGTGCACAATTAATCCGAAATCGATTGAAGATGTATATGGGAGCTATATACAATCTTGAACCGATCTTAATAAAATTTGTCAGAGGTATTTCTGGGCTGTATCGGATGCCAAACGTCATTCTTGTGTACTCCATAATAATAATAATAATTACGAATATGAGTGACTTAACACCAAATCGGATGAAACTTATATATGGAAGCTATAGGTATATCTGAATCGATTTTCACCAATATTTGAAGAACTTGTTTCTGGGCTGAATTCCGTCGGAAGTGCCAAAGTTCAGTGCATTTTTGCTGATATTAACCATTTGGTGCACAATAAACCTGAAATAAAGATATATATGGGAGTTATATCCAAATCCGACCCGATCTCGATAAAATGCGCCAAAGGTATTTCTGCACTGTATCTGATATCTGGTACCAAAGACTATTGTTGTGGAGTGCATATTACGCATATGTGGGACTTAAAACCCCAAAGCGGATGAAACGTATATATGTGAGCTGTAGCTATATCTGAAAAGATTTTCACCAAATTTTATGTGCTTGCTTCCAGGCTGAATTAGGTCGGATATGCCATTTGGACTGATATTGGCCATTTGGTGCACAATTAATCCGAAATCGGTTGAAGATATATATGGGAGCTATATCTAAATTTGAACCGATTCTCTTCAGTTTAAATAAGTTTGGAAAATTTGATCTCAATCGGATAATAAATCCGAGCAGCATTTTGTTCACAAAAATACATGGACCGGCGTATGAACGGACAGACGGACTGACATGCATAAATCGACTCAGAAAGTGATTCTATGAAGATCCTCAAAAGTAACAATGGGTCTACTCGCTTCCTTCTCCATATTACAAACAAATGCACAAATTCATAATACCCTTACCAATATTCGGTGTAGGGTTTAAATATCTGCTAGAAAATGCGGATAAAATCACCAAAACACCAAATATTCGAATGTACCACCTTATGAGTAAGTTTAAATTCCAAAAATACAGAAATTTGGGATATACTGTCGTTTCGGGGCTAGAAGAAACGTGGAGCTACATAAACAATGTTTTGCTACAGGAGGTGGAATCCGTCACAACCTCTAAGTGCCGAATTTTAAACAATTTCGTTTGAAAAGTGATCTAAATCGTCAAAATACCGAGTATCGGCAGTTATTTTTGTATGGGGGCTATTAGAGGACATGCACCGACATGTCTTATGTCTTATTTTACTCATAATGGTTCGATGTTTTGAAGACTTTTTACACACCGACTTAATTGGAAAAAAATAGAAGCGAATTCAATTCCGATACTTTTATTTGTACAGATTTTCTCCTGGTGGAGGAATTTTTACCCATCCGAACTTAACTCGTTTTACTTGTTTTATTAATAATTTTTACATTCGCTTCACCTTTACATACCAATGAAGAAAAGTACAGCGACAGGATGGCCATTGGTGCTATAACGTACAGGGTGAAACGCAACTTTTGTTCTCGGAGAAAGACAAATTCGTCGAAAATACTCGTCAATATCGATTGCAGTTGTATGACCTGAAAGAGAGAAAGAGATTTTTTTAAATATTTAATCTGAATGAATTTTTTTCTTCTTTACCATCAAAACTACAGCAGCTAAAACTAGCATAGAATAGAATAAAATTGACCAAAAATTGGGCCAACCTAAGGCTGCCAAAGAACTGCCGCTTGTTAGGAAAAATGTTCCAAATTGTGTCTGCTGGCGAAAGTAGCGGTCTTCAGTTGAAGCTGCAAAAATAAAAAAGTCAATGTTGGAGTGCAGGATCGATGTACAAAAAGTTTTTTAGAAAATCGAAATTTAAGGTCACGAAAAGTTTGATCAGATAGAGCTAAAACCTTGAAATTTGGTGTGAGAACCAAATGAGAAAAGTATGTTTGATACATGAGGGTGGTTTTGGAAATGTGTACTAAGTTTAAGAACTGTTCTAAATGGTACTAAATTTGGAGCAATTAGGTTTAGGGTGAGCGGATGAAGCTGGAATACTGAAGTTTTGCATTGGGGTCGCTGTTGGTGGTAGGTTTGTGATATAGAGTTGAGTTTTGAAGTGGGTACTACAACTGCACGAAAAGTACTAAATAGTACTATATTTGGTACAATTTTGTAATGGGTGAATAGATTGTGCTTGAAATCCGAAATTTGGTATTAGGGTCGCTGTTCATGTGTAGCCTGGACATATGAGGCATGGTTTTGGAAATGTGTACTATATATGTACGAAAAGTACTAAATGGTACTATACGTTTAGTATTGGTTGAAGGGATAGAGATACAATTCTGAAATTTGATATTTAGATTACTGGTGGTATTTGTGTTTGAGATTTGTCGGTGGTTTGGAAATGTGTACGATAATTGTACGAAAAGTACTAAATAGTACTAAATTTGGTATTGGGTAAAGGAATAGGGCTGGGTGAAGGAACAGGGGTAAAATCCTGAAATTCGATATTAAGGTCTTTGTTGGTATCTGGGATTGAGATATGGAGGTGGTTTTCGAAATGCGAGTTATAATTGTACGAAATGTACTAAATAGTACAGAATTTGTTATTGAATGAAGGAATAGAACTGGTATCCGGAAATTTGGTATATGTGATTAAGACATGGACGTGGTTTTGGAAATATGTACTATAAATTTACGAAAACTACCAAAAGGTACTAAATTTGGTGAAAGTATAGAGCTGGTATCCTGAAATTTGATATTGAGGTCTCTGTTTATATATGGTATTTACATATGGAGGTGGTTTGGAAAATGCGTATTATAAATGTACAAAAAGTACCAATTTGTACTAAATTTGGTATTGAGTGAAGGAAGAGAGCTGAAATGCAGAAATTGGATATAAAGGTCCTGTTGGTATCTTTTATTCAGATATGGAGGTGGTTTGGGAAATATGTACTATAATTGTACGAAAAGTACCAAATGGTACCAAATTTGGTATTAATTGAAGGGATAGAGCTGGAATAACGAAATAGGTTATTGAGGTCTCTCCCTCTCTTTCTATATATATTTGGGATTGAGATATGTAGGTGGTTTTGGAAATGTTTTCTATAATTGTACGAGCAGTACAAAGTGGTACTAAATTTGATGTTAGAAGCAGAGACCAAACTGAAATATGAAATGCTGTATTGAGGTCACTATTTGTATCTGAGAATGAGATATGGAGGTGGTTTTGGAAATGTGTACTATAATAGTACGAAATGGACCAAATGGTACTAAATTTGGTATTGCGCAAAGTATAGAGTTGGAATCCCGCAATTTTGATATTGAGGTCTGGATTCATATCTGGTTTTTATAATTCCAGGAAATTTCCTTCCGACTAAATTTACAAATTTTTTTTTTTTTAACATCCGATTAAATGCGATTAAAATTCCTCTTTTTTTGTTTTTTTTTTTTTAGAATTAAAGTTCCGCTTTAAGCCTTATTTTGTAGACAAATGTTATATACTTCGGTTTCGATACTTACACTTCAAATGCAGATTTATGAATTTCTCCAACATATCCAAACCGAAAATTACAAACATCTGACCGATGCCAATTATCCAACTGCTTCGTGTGATATTTGTTCGAAATTTATTAAAACTTGACAGGGTAATGAAAAGACCCCATCCCGGACCAAATGCCGCGAGACCATAAGCGGGTAATTTTCCCATTTCCGAAAAGAAATCATCCCAGTTGGGTTGAATGATTCGTTTATAGTGTTCCACTGTGCCCGGAAGAAATGAATAGCGCACGATGAAAATCAGCAATACACTTAGGATAATTTGGACGGAATATCGCACAAATTGACCAATCTGAAAAAAAAAATCGGAATTTTTATAAATTCAATAAAAGTAAATTATGATTTATTCACTTTTTCTGTTGATGTTAATTTGTAAAATATCACAGCAATTATGATCCACAGCAGTAGAAGGGTTAATACCAAATGCCAGGACATGTGAATATTTAAGCCCAAGAAACTGTATTTGCCAAACAGATTGCTGGAAAACACAATTTTGAGATAAGAAACTTAGATAAAGTTTTATTGGGATTTTAGACTTACTAAAAATACAAAGATGAGGCCACGGATTTATAGCAACCTAAAAAATCGCAGAAAATTTATTTAAAATCATATAAACGTTCCAAGTCCTATACTTACCCCCCTCACATGGATCATCGTCCACAGATGGACACAACTAAGAAAAGGGTCAAATTTATTTATTATTAATAAATAACTTCCACTTCCATTTCGCTCAAAATAATCCATACCACAACTTACAAGTACATCCTCTTGCGTCCACTTTCGTATGCCCTCACAGCTCCATGGCAATGTCGGCTTGAATGAGGTCAACAAGTAGAACAATGGTATCATGGCAAACACGCTGTAATAGACCAGGACACACACGTTCAGGAACAATGAAACATAGCCAATGCCTTTTACAAAAGAATGTATTTTTAAGATTTTTTTTATTAATTGATTTTAAGGAAACTTATCTTACCTTTGAAAAGTGGACATAACCTCAGCGCCGATATAAATCCACTACTTGAAAATTGACCCAAAAATGATTTCACAACAAGCAATGGAACTACATACGACGCCAGACTGATCAAATATGCTGGCAGAAAGCCACTTACTGAAAAACAGAAGATAATATATAACTGGGAAGCCAAAAGGACACAGTGACAAAGGATTAAAGCTTAAGTATAAATGCCCAAAAACGACATATTTCTCGAAAATATTTGATATCACTTACTATGCCTATGGATGATATGCCTCAAATAATCCATTTTTGAAAAAAAAACGAATTTTAAGTTATTTATTTAAATTTTAGTTTCCAATTGTTAAAGATTTTTACATAAAAAGAAGGCAAACAAATAAACTCAGCTGGTCCTACTTTGTAAAATCCTCCACCAATTTGCAAATTTCCAAAAATTTTTACTCTAAAATTATGAAAATACCCAACATGGGGTGGTGCAAGCAAATGGGGACTTAATTAACGTTTTATGGACCTGTAGAGCCAATTATCTGCCCGAGAAGGCCTATTGCGAACTCCTCTTAACAATCTTGAAATATTTTCCTTGAAAAATGTTGCTAAAATCGAAAAAATATCAAATATCGTGGACTTGTATGTATCCTCTATAGTATAGTGGATGACATTTAGATTAATAGAATTATATGGAAAATAACACTGTGTAGCAGCCAATCTGTGGAGGTGCGAAATTCCAAGTGGAGGTAAGAGTATTCGGTTAGTAGATCCAAATTCCAAAAAGCAGTTTGGGTTCCCTCGCCATACCTCCATAAAGCCCATTTATAACTATAACCATTTTAAAAATTATCAGTCGGTTCTGCCGACAAATGTATGCCTTCCGTCAATGTTCGTTACCGTGATACTGGTAGCGTAGCCCGACGTCAAGGAAGTGGACGGAAGAAAGCAGCAACATCAGAAGAAATGGTTCGATCTAAACCCGCGTCGCAGTGGCCGAAAAATGGCGCGTGAGCTAAACATATCGCAATATTCCATTCGGCAAATACTTGAAAAATGAGCTCGGGGTAAAGCCATTGAAATTCCAAAAAGTGCAAGAGCTTACACCGCAACAGAAGGAAAATAGACTCAAACGATCTAAAGAGTTGCTTCGCTTGGCCGAAAGTGGTGAACTGCCGAATTTGGTTTTTCCGATGAGAAAACATTCGTTGTCCAGCAGTTTGAAAAAAACAATATTATCATGTTTACTTGCCAAAAAGGTCAGCTGAAAATGTGCACCATCGGTAGACCACCAGAACTCAAGCGTCGGCCATGGTGATGGTGTGGTCCGCCATGGCATTAGAAGAATGGTTACAAATTGAGGTTCCGCGCCTCGCCGGGAATGATCCAAAATAACGCAGAGCAACATTCGGGCATCGTGTGACGGTTTCATTGGTCGTTTTAAGGCCATAATTCGTGTCAAAAGGTGACCAATTCGAACAAACCTAAACTTTTTCTAAAAGTTTATGGTATTTCCGACATTTTTTGCTTTCATTCAAAAACATAAAAAAATGTAAAAATTATGCCGTTTGACTTTGTTGCAGTTTTTTTTTTATTTCACCCAAATCTGAACCGATTTTGATAAAATTAAGCAGATGTATTTCTGGACTGTATCTGATATCTGGTACCAAATATTAGTGCATATTACGAATGTGACGGACTTAAACACCAAATCGGATGAAACATATATATGGGAGCTATGGCTATATCTGAACCGATTTCCACCAAATTTAATGTACTTGTTTTTAGACTGAATTCTGTCGGATATGCTAAAATTCAAGTCATTTGGATTAATATTGGCTATATTTACCCGAAATCGGTTGAAGATATATATATATATATATATATATATATATATATATATATATATATATATATAGGAGCTATATCCAAATCTGAATCGATCTTGACAAAATTTGATACACTTATTTCAGAGCTGTATCTGATATCTGGTACCAAAGATCATTGTTGTGGAGCGCATATTACGCCTGTGAGGGACTTTAAACCCTGAATCGGATAAAACATATGTATGGGAGCTATAGCTATTTCTTAACAGGGTTTCACCAAATTTGAAGTACATGCTACTATGTCGGACACGCCACAATTCATTCCATTTGGGCTGAACATTTCTGAGCTGTATCTAAAATCTGGTACCAAATATCATTCTTGTGGAGCGCATATTACGTATGCTAGGGACTTAAAACCCCAAATCTGATGAAACATATATATGGGTGCTATAGCTATATCTAAATCGATTTTCTCCAAATTTGAAGTACTTGCTTCTTCAGGTCATTTGTGCTTATATTGGCCATTTGGTGCACAATTAACCCGAAAACGGTTAAAGATATATTGGAGCTATATCCAAATCTGATTCGATTATCACCAATCCGTGGGCCAAACAAATATTGCTTGCAAAATTTCATCTCAATCGAATAATAAATGCGACCTGCATTTTTTCACAAGAATACATGGACGAGCGGATGGACGGGGGACTGACGTGCATATATCGACTCAGAAAGTGATTCTATGAAGATCCTCAAAAGTAACTTTGGGTCTAGCTCGCTTCCTTCTCCTTGTTACAAACAAATGCACAAAGACCTAATACCCTTACCACAGGGTAAAAAAAGCTCCAGGTCTTCCCCATCCTTCAATATCCATGATAAAATATTAAGTCCCTTTTAGTAATTTTCGCACTTTTGTCAGATTCTTGACTCTTCCAAATCACTTGTTATATTTAATTACACAATATTTAATTGTTATCATTCACTTTTTGTTAGAATTTCCAACTGTTCGGAATATGTGTCAGATTAAAAATTAGAGCACGTATTTTCAAAACCCTTACTTTCTTGGTACAATATTAAGTACCTTGTAACATTTTTCGTGTATATATATATATATATATATATATATATATATATATATATATATATATATATATATATATGACTTTTGCGACACTATTCATCGGAATTGTCTCAAATTTGGTATTTGAAGTTCGAAATGAATGCTACAACAAAAGACAGAAAATTATCTGTGCAGGTCCACGTCTTCGTATAGCCCCCATATAACGGAACCTACCGATATTGGGTATTTTGATGACTTTTGCGACATTATTCATCGGAATTGTCTCAAATTTGGTATTTGAAGTTCGAAATGAATGCTACAACCAAAGACAGAAAATTGTCTGTGCAGGTCCACGTCTTCGTATAGCCCCCATATAACGGTACCTCCCGACATTCGGTTCTTTGTTGATTTTAGCGACATTATTCAACGGAATTCTTTCAAATTTGGTATTTGAAGTTTGAAATAAATACTACAGCCTAAGACAGAAAATTGTCTGTGCAGGTCTACATCTTCGTATATCCCCATATAACGGTACCTCCCGATATTCGGTATTTTGATGATATTAGCTACATTATTCACCGATTTTTTCGCATTTGAATATTGTAATGGCTTATGACAAATGTTACCTATGCAGATCAAATGTAACAGTTACATTCGGTTTTTTAAGATTTTAAAAGACTTTTTTACGGATTTTATTGTTTTTGAGAATTGCCAAATTCGTTCCAAATGGTGGAGGGTATTCAAAGTTCGGCCCGGCCGAACTTACAGCTTTTTTACTTGTTTTTTCAAAATCTTGTCATTTATTTTATGTTTACAGTAGTCAGTAGGGCATATAAAAATCATGCTATTAACTCTATCCTAAATGGTTTATTAAGTACCATTTAGTACTTTTCGTTGACTTTAAGCACAAAACTTCCAAAATGTCTTTCCGAACACGATTTTAATTGTCATAGACAAAGCTTAAAACACAAGAATTCAAAAAATTGACTTTTGTTATTACATTTTTAATGGTTGCTACGCCTCTGATCTGATTCACTTGAATTTCTTATCATCTTTTGATGCACAGACAAATGTACAAATATATGTGTACATGTTTACTTTCACAAATCAAAAAAAATTTGCTTTCATTCTTTTGTTTGTCACTTTGGGATTTTGAATTCCAATGGGGGAAAATTTCGAAAATCACATTTGAATTTTATTCAATTATTTCAAAATTTTTCAATAACTTATTTGTGACTTCACTTTCCACACTCTATTGATTTTTAATTTTTTTTTGTTGTACCTCCAGTTTCCACCCTGGCGACCCATGTTAGGGCAAAAACATCTAAGCGAAATCCTATACTAAGACCAGCATAGAGAAAATCACTGGCCTTTGACCAATATCCTCGTTTCAAATCGGGTAGAAATGGACTGCCACCACTTTCGTAGGATGATTCATAAATCATTATCGCGACGTTCAAGTGTTTTTGTTTTTTTTTTTATTTATTTGTTGAGATGTTTTTATTTTTTTAATTCTGTGGTCTTAATCGTTCGGAATACAATCACGGTTTGAGAAAAGAATTTTCAATTCTTAAGTTTTAATGTGAATGAAATGATATTTTTAATTTCGTAGAAGTGCACAATGAGAGATGACAGTTTATCGCTGCAGTTGGGGAAATTCTCAATATTTTGTTTTTTTTTGTTTTCAAGAAAACCTCTAAAAATGCTAATAATATTGGTCAACGCTGATAACGATTTGGTTTGAAAAGGAGATCTTGCGGAGAAACTTAGTGAAACTGTGAATATTATTTACTCTATTTGAGAAATATGTTCATGTGAGTGGGAAAGTATTAAATACAGAGGTCAAGTCGAAAAGTTCGGTATCATATGATACCAAATTAAACATATCGAACTTTCTTCAGATTTATTACACTGGTTTGTGGTGGTGGTTGTATTAAAACCACAAATGGCGACATTTGTCATAGGTTTCTGCATTATGGCTTGGTGAATTTTTTATAGACACCTATAATGCATGAAGAAAATTGCCCATTGTAGCTCATTTTTATACCCTACACCACGTAGTGGTAAGGTCATTATAACATTGTGAACTTGTATGTAACATGGAGAATGAATCGGTCTATCACGGTTATTTTTGAGGATCTTCATAGAATCACTTTCTGAGTCGATTTATGCATGTCAGTCCGTCTTTCGTCCGTCTGCCCGTCCATGTATTCTTGAGAACAAAATGCAGATGGCATTTATTATTCGATTGAGATGAAATTTTTGCAAATAATATTTGTTTGGCCAAAAGACGAATCCTATTGAAATTGGTGATAATCGGATCAGATTTAGATATAACTCCCATATATCTTCAACCGATTTCGGGTTAATGGCAAATGGCTAATATAAGTTCAAATGACCTGTATTTTGGTAAGACCCACCGAATTCAGTCAACCAGAAATTAAATCAAATTTGGAGAAAATAGGTTCAGATATAGCTATAGCTCACGGGGTGAGATCAAAAAACTGCAATAAAGTCAAATGCCATAGTTTTAACTTTTTTTTTTTTAATTTCATTGCATGAAAGCCAAAAATGTCGGAAATAGCATCAAAGTTTAGAATAAGTTTAGATTTGATCGAAGTGGTCACCTTTGGCACGAATTATGGCCTTCAAACGGCCAACGAAATCGTCACACGTTGCCCGAATGTTGCTCTGCGGTATTTTGACCCATTCCCCGAGAAGCGCTTGCTTGGGGTGATCGACACTTTGGTACTTTTTAGTAACAACCTTGCTTTCCAAAATACTCCAGACACAATAGTCCAACGGATTGGTATCCGGAGATTTTGGTGGCCATTGTGCGCTGAAAATGAAGCGATGAACCTTGTTTTGTAAGCATTTCTGGGTGTCGATGGTGCGATGGTGCTGAGTCCTGTTGGAATGTCCAAGGTCTGCGGCCAAAATGCTTGCGTGCCCAAGGCTTTAGTGCACCCTCCAGAATATTTTCGCGATAATATTGGCAGTTATTCTGATGCCACGGTCGATTAATTAGAACAGAGAGCGACCATCGACTGTTATGGCGGCCCACACACTCACCAGGCGCTTGAGTTCTGGTGGCGCTTGAGTTCTGGTGGCCAACCAAAGTTGCGCATTTTCAGCTGTATACAAACTGCTGGAGAAGGAATATTTTTCATCGGAGAAAACCAAATTCGGCAGTTCACCACTTTTGACCAAACGAAGCAACTCCTTAGCTCTTTTGAGTATATTTGCTTTCGGTTGCGGTGTAAGTTCTTGCACTTTTTGGAATTTCAATGGCTTTACCCCGAGCTCATTTTTCAATATTTGCCGAATGGAATATTGCGATATGTTCAGCTCACGAGCCATTTTTCGGCCACTGCGACGCGTGTTTCGATCAAGTCGTTTATTTACTTTTCGAATCATTTCCTCTGATGTTGCTGTTTCTTCCGTTCCCTTCCATGTCGTCGGGGAGCTACGCTATCAGTATCACGGTAACAAGCGATGGTACGAGACACTCTAACGATAGCCACCTGTGGTTTTCCAGGCAAATATAAAGAAATAACACTATCGCGCTTGAATTCCACCAGGAATAACTTTTTTTCTGAAAAATTCTCACCCAAATGTTTTTGTACGCTTGTAAACAATATAATGAGCTGTCACTGGAATAATTTTGACAGCAGTCGGACGGGTGGCTTATAAATTACAGTAGTCTGAAGTTGGTTGCAATTTCTTCATTTCACCCTGTATATGTTTCATCCGATTTGGGGGTTTAAGTACCTCACAAGCGTAATATGCACTCTGGAAGAATGATATTTTATACTGGACATCAGATACTGCCCGAAAATACCTCTGTCAAATTTTATCGAAATCGCATCAAATTAGGATATAGCTTCCATATATATCTTTATCTGATATCAGGTTTATTATTGCCAATATCAGTCCAAAAGTTCTGAATTTTGGTACATCAGACCGAATTCGGTCTAGAAGCAAGTACATCGAATTCCGAGAAAATCGTTTCAGATATGGCTATAGCTCCCACGTGTAGGTTTCATCCGATTTGGTGTTAAAGTCCCTCATATTCGTAATATACATTCGACAACAATGATATTTGATTCCAGATAACTTATAGAGCTCGGAAATACCTTTGCCAAATTTTATCGAGATCGGCAAAGATTTTGATATAGCTCATATATATATCCTTAATCCGATTTCTGGTTTATTCTGCAAATAATGGCTAATATCAGTCCAAATGGAGTGGATTTCGGGACGTACGTTTTAATTTTTTGGAACTCGGCTCCGATATATATTTTTATACCCTCCACCATAGTATGGAGGGTATATTAAGTTTGTCATTCCGTTTGTAATACCTCGAAAAATACATTTTAGACTCCACAAAGTATATATATTCTTGTATAGTGTAGTATATATAGTATATAAATTCTATGTCGATTTAGTGATGTCCTTCCGTCTGTTCGTCTATCCATTTGTGGAAATCACTCTAGCTTCCGAACGAAATGAAGTAGATTGATGAAATTTTATTAAAATGTATATTATGTCTGCAGGACTTTTGGTATTGAAAATGGTCCATGCAGGTCCACGTTTTGGTATAGCCCCCATGTTACGGTACCTCCCGATATTCGGTATTTCGATGATTTCAGCGATATTATTTTCCGGAACTATTTCAAATTTGGTACTTGAAGTTCGTAATGAATGCTACAGCCTATGACAGAAAATTGTCTGCGCAGGTCCACGGTCTATGTCGATTTAGTTATGTCCTTCCGTCTGTTCGTCTATCCATCTGTGGAAATCACTCTAGCTTCCGAACGAATTGAAGTAGATTAATGAAATTTTATTCAAATGTATATTATGTCTGCAGGACTTTTGGTATTGAAAATGGGCCATGCAGGTCCACGTTTTGGTATAGCCCCCATGTTACGGTACCTCCCGATATTCGGTATTTCGATGATTTTAGCGATATTATTTACCGGAACTATTTCAAATTTGGTACTTGAAGTTCGTAATGAATGCTACAGCCTATGACGGAAAATTGTCTGTGCAGGTCCAGGTCTTCGTATAGCCCCCATATAACGGTACCCCCGATATTCGGTATTTTGATGATTTTAGCGACATTATTTACCGGAATTGTTTTAAATTTGGTATTTGAAGTTCGTAATGGATACTACATCCTATGCCAGAAAATTGTAGGTCCACGTCGTCGTATTGACCCTAATATACGGCTAAATTCGGTATTTTTAAGATTTTAACAGGATTTTTAACGGATTTTATTTTTTTTTTAAATTTCCAAATTTGTACCAAATGGTGGAGGGTATACAAAGTTCGGCCCGGCCGAACTTACAGCTTCTTTACTTGTTTTAATATAATCCTTTTCCAAGTGATATCACGCACTCTAAAGAAAACTATCATTGTTCTATAGCCAAATATTGATAGGTGGTATGATCTACTTGAAATAAATTCTTTTGTTAAGGGAGCTCTACTAAATAGGCATAGTGGTGTAGGGTATCATATAGTCGGCCGCGCCCGACTATTGACTTTTCCTTACTGGTTTACTCATCATAAAGCTACTCGAAAAAATCAGATCGATTAGTTGTATGGAAACATTTTTTCCACACCTTCCCTTACATATTGGACCATTGTGCGCTGTGGCGTTTTTCTGTTTCTTGCTTCGCCTATATGCAACGTTCACAAATCTGCACTGCTCTACAGAATGGCGATTATTCAAAAACTTACCTCCATCCAACACCAAAAAATACACAAACATTTTTTTTAATTTCTCTATTAAAATGTATTTAATTTCGTATTTAAATAATTTCATTATCACTTATTAAATAATTAACTATTTATAAATATATATATACAGGCGTATGGGTTCTTATAAAAAAAGATCGAATATAAAATTATTAAATATACAATAACTATAAAAACATACATTCCTACACAGTTATTTCCACTTAAGAGACCCCGGGGATAATTTATTGTTGCAGTGATTTGACAAAATTTTCAAGGTCTCTGAGGGGGTTGACTTGTTTCTTTTTTCTTTGCTGCCAATTTATCAATTATACAGAAATTACTGTAGATAATTTCAATAATTAAATTTCAAATATATGTTTGTGTTTGATTGGAGTATTCCCCGTTTAAAATTATAAACATTTGTTTTTGTTGGTCTATCTTTATCACTTTTTTTGATAATTTGTTGTTTTCAGCAAAAATAACAATAATAATAATAATAATAATATTTATTATATGAGAAATAAAGTCTTTTGTTTCAATTAGGCCATCCATCAGCAACTCTCGTGCTCATTGTTGAGTATGACCAACATTTCCGATGTGCCCATTATCTCCTCGTAGAAACGGCGATTGTCCGCATCGACGGGATGCCAATCGTGTGGCGCAAAACATTGTTTGACGCGCTGACGCAGAGAGCCCGTGGTCCGCGTCACTTTGTACACCATGTACAGGGGTACGGCTGCAAAGACCAAGCATTGCGTTATCAGAATCCAGGCAGAGGGCGGATTGTAACTGTCGTCGGTATAGGAGTAGGTTGCATAGATGACATCGCCCTTTGATTTGTTGTGTGGAATGGTGTTGTGCATTAAATAAAGATAAGAATAAAAAGTGGTTATTTTTATTTTTTTATTAAAACATAACGAGGGGCGTTTCCCACTGGGGAAAAATTCGTTCAACCAATTTCTACGCTTCAATACTCACAATGCAAAAACCCAAAAAGATGGGCGTCAAAAAGCGTAACAGAAATATTTTGAAATTTGATATCGTCTTGCCAAGCATAAATTGCAAATCACATTGGAATCGTTCTCGGCCATAGATCCATGTGCTGACGAACAAGAGCAGCATCGATATAATTAAATGTGTGACTGTGACAATGTCGGGCAAGATATGTAAATGTTGGAAACCTTGCTGCAAAATGGGAGAAAAAAAAAAAAAAACAAATGAAAAAAACTCAATGTTAGAATTTTTGCTGTGATGGGAGTTTTTCAAAGACATCACATTGAAGATGCAAAAATTGAAGATGCAAATTTTTTCCATTAGGCCATAGAAACGTGAATTATGTCGTCGAAAACTATATTTCGAAATGTTTTTGATAATTTTCAGGACTTTTGAATGTGATTTTGAAAAAAAAAAAAAAAAAAAAAAAATGGGCAATGAATGTGAACAAAAATTTAATAAAACGAGTTAAAAAGAATCAGTCGGTATGGCCGACAGCTGCATACCCTCAGGCAATGTTCATGGGAGAGGTTGCGAAAGAATGGTCCTATATTATAAAAACTGAAAATTGGAAAAGATACCAGAAGGAGTGGACCGATTTTGTTAATCTTCATAATAGATCTTGTGCTGATAGAAGTTTTGGGATGTGCCGAGTTTTAAGAGACTATGATTCTCATTTCGCGTTTTACGAACTCCATAACTATTGAAAATTTTGACGCGTTGTGGGGGAGGTACGAGAAATAGTGAACCGGTATATCCCATCATCTCAACCAATTTTTGTTGATAAAAATATTGAGATGTGCCGAGTTTAAAATTAACCTGGTGCTAATTTCGCGTTTTACGAGCTTTGGGGTATTCAAAATTTTAACCGGTTATGGGGGAGGTTTCATACCATCTTCTTTACAGATTTTGTGTTGAAGTGCCGAGTTTGAAGGGAACAGGACTCCTATTTCATACTTTTTAAAAATTATAATTATTAAAAATTTTGACCCATTGTCGGGAAAGTACCAAAAGGAGTGGACCGATATATGCCATTTTCTCAATAGATCTTGTGTTGATAAAAATATTGACATGTGCCGAGTTTGAAGGGAATCTGGTACTCATTTCGAGTTTTACGAGCTTCATGGCTTTTCAAATTTTTGACCCGTTGTGGGGGAGGTACCAGAATTAGTGAACCGATATATCCCATCTTCTCAATAAATTTTCTATTGATAAAACTATTGAAATGTCCCGAGGTTGAAGGGAATCGGACTCCTATTTCACACTTTATAAGAATCATAATTATTCAAAATTTTGAACCGTTGTGGGCGTTCTGCTGATAAAAATTTTGAGATATGCTTAGTTTGCAAGAAATTGTATGGTAATTTCGCGTTTTATGAGTTTCACGGATATCCAAAATGTTAACCCTCTGTGGGGGAGATACCAGAAGGAGTAGACCGATATATGTCATCTTCGCACGAGACCTTGGGTTATTAGAAATATTGTTATGTATATAATTTAAAGACAATCGGCCTCTTACATCACATTTTATTAGAGTTATAATTAACCGAAAAATGGCTCGTGAGCTGAACATATCGCAATATTCCATTCGGCAAATTTTGAAAAATGAGCTTGGGGTAAAGCCATTGAAATTTAAAAAAGTGCAGCAACTTACACCGCAACAGAAAGAAAATAGACTCAAAAGAGCTAAAGAGTTGCTTCGCTTAGCCGAAAGTGGTGAACTGCCGAATTTGTTTTTCTCCGATGAGAAAACATTCGTTGTCGAGCAGTTTGTAAACAAACAAAATAATCGTGTTTACTTGCCAAAGAAGTTAGTTGAAAATGTGTGGCCAGCAGAACTCAAGAGCTGGCCATGGTGATGGTGTGGGCCGCCATAACAGACGATGATCGCTCTCCGCTCGTACTAATCGACCGTGGCATCAGAATAAATGCCGAATATTATAGCGAAAATATTCCGGAGGGTGTATTAAAGCCCTGGCCACGCAAACATTTTGTGTGTCTGGTTGAGAGAAATATTGTGACCCTTTGTCGGTGAGGGGTTCGCAGATATATAGCATCTTTACAACAAATCTTGTATTAGCAAAAAATGTTTAGATGTGTGAAATTCGAAGAGAGGGTTTATTTCGCTTATTTCGCTTTCTTTGAGCGTTTTGTTTTTCTAAGTTTTGAACCCTTTGTGGGAGAGGTACCAGATGAAATGGTCTGATCTCCATTATCATTATAGCAAGTCTTGTGTTGATAGAAATATTGAGATGTACCAAGTTTTAATGGAAGCGGATGTTAATTTTGCGATTTATGAGCTTCGTGGATATTTAAATTTTCGACCATTGTGGATGAGGTACCAGAAGGAATGGACCGATATGTACCATCTTCATAGCAGATCTTGTGTTAGTAGAAATAATATGATGTGTGAAATATGAAGAGAACCGGATGCTTATTTCGGATTTTATAATCGTTTTGGTTATACAAAATTCGGGGGGAGGTACCAAAAAGGAATTGCCCGATCTCTACCATCTTTATAAAAGATCTAGTGTTCATAGAAATATTAGGATGTGCCAAGTCTGAATGGAATCGGATGTTAATTTCGTGTTTTATGATCTTCATGAATATTCAAAATATTGACCCTTTGTAGGGGAGGTACCATAAGGAGTGAACCGATATTGACCATCTCCCAACTCGATCTAAGTTTAATAATAATATTACGATGTACCATGTTTGAACCAAATAGCAATAGTTTTGACCGTATTAAATGTTATATATTTCCTCTCTAGTCATATGGCTGGCTGGGGGTATAAAAATACATTATTTAGTAATGAGTTTTTCCTAGGTTTTTATGAATTACCAAATCTGTATCAGTTTATGCAGAAATTACAGAACAGCCCCAGCACTTCAGAAGAGAGTATACACTGGGAAAAACTCAGTCGGTGGAAATGAGGGTAAGGGCTTTAAATTATTAAAAATCTAGAGTTGGTGGTACATGGACCAATATCACATCGTATCAATAATAATATATAAAGGAGTATTGACATAATTGACTGACTGATTGACCAACGCCCAAACGAAACGGATGAAGCTAAAAACTTGAAATTTTGCATACTTGGTGGTCTTTATGCGTGGACATGTGATAAAATTGGGTTTTTGGAAATTCGTACTAAAAATTTAACACTTTGTATTGGACATACGGAACATATGAAATTTTGAATGAGAATCCCTAATGGTGTGCAGGAAAGATCTACTGAAGGATTTTTCGAAATTCGAACTTTAAGGTTACGAAAAGTTCTAAAATGCTACCATTTGGTATTGGCTGAACAGGTAGTGCTTGAAATCGAAGATTTCTTATTAGGGCCTCTGGAAATATGTACTATAATTTTACGAAAAGTTCTGAATGGAATGAATATTTGGTATTGGGCGAGGGGATAGAGATAAAATTCTGAATTTTTATATTAAGATGGTACTAATGGCATCTTTGATCGAGATTTGGCTGCGTTTTGGGTATGCATCATATATTTGAACAAAAAGTACTATGATATGGTACTAAATATGGAAGGGTAAGGACTGGGATCATAAAATTTGATATTGAGGTCTCTATTGGCATCGGGAATTCAGGTATGGAGGTGTTGTTCTAGAAATGTGCTCTATAATTGTGCGAAAAGTACTGAATTTGGTTTTAGGTGAAGGGATAGAGCAAAAATCTTGAAGTTTGCTACAGATGTCACTCTTGCTGTCTGTGGTTGGGAAAAGGAGCTGGGTTTGGAAATGCGTACTATGAATGTAGTAAATGGTACTAAATTTGGCAATGGGTGAAAGGATAGGACAGGAATCTTTAGATTTGACATTAGGGTCTCTGTTGGTATCTGGAATTGAGATATGGAGGTGGTATTAGAAATGTGTACTATAATCATACGAAAATAACTAAATGCTACTAAATTTGGGATTGAGTAAATGTATAGAGCTGGTATGCCGAAATTTGATATTGTGGTCTCTGTTGGTATGTGGTGCTGAGATCTGGGGATGGTTTACTCAATTTAGTATTTAGTGAAGGGATAGGGCTGGAATCCTCAAATTGGGCATATATGTCACTGAAAATTTCGACCATAGTTGTACGAAAGTATTAAATAGTACCAAATTTGGTTTTGGGTGAAGGAATAGAGCTGATATCCTGAAATTTTATATGAATTTCACTGTTGGTGTCTATAGTTGGTACTAAGTTGACAATGTGTAAGGGATAAGGCTGGAATCGTCAAATTAAATCAAATTATAATGAAGTCTCTATTGGTGTCTGAGGTTGAGACATGGAGATTGTTTTGAAAATGCGTACTATAATTGTACGAAAAGTACTAAATTGTACCAATTTCGGATCACTGCTGATGCCTAAGATGGAGAGATGTAGATTGTATTGGACATGTGTACTAAATGTTACTAAATTTAATATTGGGTGAAAAATGAATGAAATTTCGAAATTTAATATTGAGGTCACTGTTGGTTTCTTGGGTTTACATTTGGAAATAGTTTTGGATAGAAAAATTTTATGTGGGTCCACTGTGCAATGGTTTTACTTATATCCTCCTCGGTAAAGTTCAAAATGAAAGATTTCCAAGTCCTTTTTTTGTGAAACAGGTACACATTTTCCTTGTATTCTTTCCGAAGAAGGATAAACTTGAATAATATATATAACCAATAAGAAAAGTCGGGCGGGGCCGACTATATGATACCCTTCGCCACTATGCATATTTAGAAGGGTTCCTGTAACTAAGGAATTTATTTGAAGTAGATCATACCACCTATCAACATTTGGCATTAGAGCATTTATAGTTTGGTTTCAGAGGGAGGCATATCCAATTCTGAATCGATTTTCCCTAACATTTACTGAGACATTTTATGTGAGGGACTTAAGGACCAAATCGGATTCAACATATATATGGCAGCTAAAGGTCAGGTTATTTGGACTGATATTGTCTATTTGGTGCACAACTAACCCGAAATGGGTTTAAGATATATATGGGAGCTATATCTAAATCTGAAATTTGATCTTGATAAAATTTGGCAGTTGTATTTCTGGGCTGTATCTGATACCAAATATCATTCTTTTGGGTGCATATTACGAATGTGAGGGACTTAAGGGCCAAATCGGATGAAAATTATATATTTGGGAGCTGTGGCTATGTCTGAATCGATTTTCACCGAATGTGATGTACTTTCTTCTAGACTGAATTTGGTTGGATGTGCCAAAATTCAGGTAATTTCGACTGATATTGGCCATTTAGCGCACAATTAACACAAAATCGGTTGAAGGTGAAGTCCTTGGGCCAAACAAATATTGTTTGTTTGGAAAATTTCATCTCAATCGGATAATGAATGCGACCTGCATTTTGTTCACAAGAATACTTGGACACACTGATGGACGGACAGTCTGGCGGATTGACATGCATAAATCATCTCAGAAAGTGATTCTATGAAGATCCTCAAAAGTAACTATGGGTCTATCTCGCTTCGTTCTCTATGTTGAAAACAAATGCACAAAAGCATTATACCCTTACCACTATGTGGTGTAGGGTATAAAAACTTGAAAGTCTGAATGTTTAGTACGATCTATAAAGTTTTGATTTAAACAATGTTGTCAAACTGAATAAATTGTGCATTTTGAGGACTGAAAAGTTGGAACGAATCTAAAATTTTAAGGTATAGCGGGCACTTCTCCGTGAAGTGGAATATTTAAGTTCACTATTTGTGGTAGATCCCCGTACATAAGGCTAAAATAATAATAATAAATCATAAAAAATAATAAATCATAAAAATAAGAAGTCCACGATTTCGTCTAGACTAGCAATAGATTAACAATATTTGTAAAAAACTTAGATCAAGTTGGAAGATGTGTCATTACCACTCATATCTTTCCCCTATAAAGGTTCAAGATATTGAAGATTCAAAACACTCATAAAATGATTAATGAGGATTTACTTTGACGTAGATCATCAAAATTTAGCAGAACAATTTCTATTGTATCTAGTATGGTTGGTATTGAAAATCAGATATGTCGGTCCACGTTTTGGTATAGCCACGGGAGAGAGATTAACGGTACCTCTCGATATTCGGTATTTTGATGATTTTTGCCACATTTTTTCACGGAATTGTCTGAAAATTTGTATTTGTTGGTCATAGAAGATTCTAGCTCCGGTGGCGAAACATTGTATGTAAAGGTCCACGTTTTGGTATAGCCCCCATATAACGGTACCTCCTAAAAATATTCGATATTTTTATGGTTTTTGTCCCATTTTTTCATCCATTTATCTAAAAATTAGTATTTGTTGGTCATAATGGGTTGTATGTATAGGTCCACGCTTTCTTCGTATAACCCCCATATAATGGTACCTCCCGATATTCGTATTTTGATGATTTTTTTGCCACATTGATTCAAGGATTTGTCTGAAAATTGGTATTTGTTGGTCATAATAGATTCGAGATCTGGTGGCGAAACATTGCATGCATAGGTCCACGTTTTGGTATAGCCCCCATACAAGGGTACCTCCCAATATTCGATATTTTGATGGTTTTTGTCACATTTTTTCACGGATTTGTCTAAAATTTTTTGGTATTTGTTGGTCATAAGGGGTTCTTGCTCTCGTGACGAAATATTGTATGTATAGGTCCACGCTTTTGCATATCCCTATATAGCGGTACCTCCCGATATTCGGTATTTTGATGATTTTTGCCACATTTTCCCACGAATATGTCTAATAATTAGTATTTGTAGGTCATAATTGGTTCTAATGTTTCCTTTACCCTAAGGTGGAGGGTATTAAAAGTTCTGCACGGCCAAACTTAATGTTTTTGTTTACTTGTTTTACCTACCTTTGTACAAAAATACACGGATATCAGAAACATTGTTGTGACCAAACCAATTGTTAGTAGCGATGTTTTTCGTCGCAAATTTTCGAATTCATCAAACAGGGCTCGCTGAACGGTCATAATTTGGACGATCTAGAATGTAAAAGCCACTTCTTGAAATAATCGCCACCAGAATTTTAATTCTCTAGAGTCCTACTTACCACAGCCGATAATTCTGCCAGGAAGAGCATAAAAAAGAATAAAAATGCCCAAAAATTAGGTATACTATTAAAGCTGCCAAATAGATAAGCAAAACAGATGTAGACAAATCTCATATTGTGTTCCTCGTTGACATGGACATGTAACAGAGCTACGTGATCTGTAAATCAGATAGAAATAATGAAATTCTCAATAAAATTAAAAATCATCTCAACTATCTCTTTAGTAAGATATCCCATCTATTATCGCTCACCCTCAAAATGATCCATGGCAATGCGTGTGCACAGTGTTCCCATTTGTGTGATAATGACAAAAGTCAAAGCTACCCAATATGTCTGCTTCTCCGAGTCTTGGCGAAAACGATTGTGACTAGCCAGTGTAAGTACACTGCCACATCCTGGCCCCAATAACCAAATGGGCATTAGGACAGCTGCCTTAATACCCGCCATTATGGCCAAATGACTGTCGGGCAGTGTTGGTTCCATATAGTCGATCAATGAATCCCATGAAATGTGAACATACATTAGCAAATGTACGAATATGGCGACGAATAGGGTTATCAACAGCAAACATACACAGCGCATGAATTTTCCTATCTGAAAAAGGGAATTTTTATTAGAAATTATAAAAATATCACTTTGCTCAACTACTCACGAAGGATACACCTTTTAAGCTTATTGCTAGTGTTAGTAGCCATACTATTAGAACACCACCCAAAATGGGCCATGAGATCGTTAAAGGATTGCTGGAGTTGTCATCGGAACGTATGATGTACCTAAAAAGAAAAATAAAACAAGTTCATTAGTGCCAAGAAGACGACACCTCTAACTCCAGGAGCACAATGTATTGAAAAATCTGGAAAAATTTCACTATTTCAATTAATCGTTTTTATACCCTACACCACAAGGTGGTCAGGGTATTATGTCTTTGTGCATTTGTTTGTAACAGGCAAAAGGAAACGAGATAGACCCATAGTTCCTTTTGATGATCTGCATAGAATCACTTTCTGAGTTGATTTATGCATGTCAGTCCGTCTGTCCATGTATTCTTGTGAACAAAATGCAGGTCGCATCTATTATCCGATTGAAATGAAATTTTGCACAAATCATTTGTTTGGCCCCAGGACGAACCCTATTGAAATTGGAGATAATCGGTCAAAATTTGGATATAGCTCCCATATATATTTTCGTCCGATTTGGTTTTTATTGTGCACCAAACGTGTAATATCAGTCCGAATAGTATGGAATTTTGCACATACAACCAAATTAGGCCTGAAAATAAGTATGCCAAATTTGATTGAAATCGGTTCAGATATAGCTATAGCACCCACATATATTGTTCATCCGATTTCTTGTATTTGTTACCCACAGCCGTAATATTCACTCCGTAACAACGATATTCAGGGAAATATATCAAATACAGCTCAGAAATATATTTGCCAAATTTTATCGAGATCGGTTCAGATTTGGATATAGCTCCCATATATAACTTCGTCCGATTTAAATTTTATTGTACACCAAACGTCTAATATTTGCCCAAATGGGATGGAATTTGGCACATACGACCGAATTGAGTCTAGAAGGTAGTATGCCAAATTTGGTGAAGATCGGTTCAGATATAGCTATAGCTCCCATATATATTGTTCATCCGGTTTGTTGTATTTGTTACCCGCAGCCGTAATATGCACTCCGTATCAACGATATTCAGGGAAATATATCAAATACAGCTCAGAAATATATTTGCCAAATTTTATCGAGATCGGTTCAGATTTGGATATAGCTCCCATATATAACTTCGTCCGATTTAAATTTTATTGTACACCAAACGTCTAATATTTGCCCAAATGGGATGGAATTTGGCACATACGACCGAATTGAGTCTAGAAGGTAGTATGCCAAATTTGGTGAAGATCGGTTCAGATATAGCTATAGCTCCCATATATATTGTTCATCCGGTTTGTTGTATTTGTTACCCGCAGCCGTAATATGCACTCCGTATCAACGATATTCAGGGAAATATATCAAATACAGCTCAGAAATATATTTGCCAAATTTTATCGAGATCGGTTCAGATTTGGATATGGCTCCCATATATATCTTTATCTGATTTTAAATTAATTTTGCACCAAATGGGCAATACAAGTCCGAATTTAAAAGATACAAATGCTTCGGCATATTTAGTCCTTTGAATTTTAAATTATAATTATAATCATAGCGTGTATGATTGAATTCTCCCATAAAAACTTTTAATTGTTATGTGGAGCTCAACTAAATTAGCAAAGTGGTGTAGGGTATCATAAAATCGGCCCCGCCTGACTTTAGGACTTTCTTTACTGGTTGGTATTTGGTATTGAATAGTATTTTGGCCATTTGAATAGTTGAAAATTCGAAGTGACTTTTCGTATTCGATTCCAACCACATTTATTTAAACGAGCCTAAAAGTATGCAACAATAAGGCCCATAAGAAGTTAAATTACACAATACGACAAAATTCTTTTTTATTCCGGAGGGTCCACATACAGTGAGCATCAATATAAAGTTTACAATTTTTACCCCCCACACTGTGGTCAGGAATGGATCGGTTCAGATTTGGATAAAGTTCCCATATATATTTTCATCCGATTTCACGTTAATGTGAATAAAAAGTACAATATCTGCTCAAACAGAATGAAGATAACTGCTTTAAAGCCATCGGTCAACAACGATCTCTCATAAATTTCTTATAAAAACGTATATTTGTTATGGGTAGCTCCACTAAATATGCAACGTGGTGTAGTGGTGTTCTGCAACAGATCACATATATTCAATGAAACAAAATTCATTTTCAATAGTTAAAAGAGAAAACTCAACATATTACGACAGTATAACTAACAAGATAAAAAACAGCCGTATTTTTAATACTCTTCTACATTTTTAAGGAACAGAACAGTGTGGATTATTTGTTCGGGATACCGTAATATTTTGTTGTTGCAAAATGGTCAGGCTTTATCCCTTTATTGTTGTTTTTATAAGAACAACGTTTGTTTATTAGTGGTGAACGATGGTAATGTTTACCAGGGGGTAAGGCAGGGAATACCTAGGTTTCGGAAAGAGCCACCAATCCTCATCAGATACCTTGTTTTTTGTGTGGGATATTCTCCCCAGAAGTTATTTTAAAAATAACTTCTATGACAAAAAACATTTTTTACCCAAGTGACGAGATCGTAAGCTCAATAACTTCTGGGGAGAATATCCCACACAAAAAACAAGGTATCTGATGAGGATTGGTGGCTCTTTCCGAAACCTAGGTATTCCCTGCCTTACCCCCTGGTAAACATTACCATCGTTCACCACTAATAAACAAACGTTGTTCTTATAAAAACAACAATAAAGGGATAAAGCCTGACCATTTTGCAACATAATTTTTAAGGAACTTGAAAATTTTCAAAAAAAAAAAAAAAAAGTAAAGAAAGTTTTAAGTCGGGCGGGGCCGACTTTATGATACCCTACACCACTTTGCTAATTTAGTTGAGCTCCACTTAATAATTAAAAGTTTTTGTGGGAGAATTCAATCATACACGCTATGATTATAATTATAATTTAAAATTCAAAGGACTAAATATGCCGAAGCATTTGTATCTTTTAAATTCGGACTTGTATTGCCCATTTGGTGCACAATTAATTTGAAATCGGATAAAGATATATATGGGAGCTACATCCAAATCGAAACCGATCTCGATAAAATTTGGCAAAGATTCTGAGCTTTATTTGATATATTTCCCTGAATATCGTTGTTACGGAGTGCATATTACTGCTGTGGGTAACAAATATAACAAATCGGATGATATATGGAAGCTATAGCTATATCTGAACCGATCTTCACCAAATTTGACATACTAGCTTCTGGACTCAATTCGGTCGTAAGTGCCAAATTCCATCCCATTTGGACAAATATTAGACGTTTGGTGCACAATAAAAGGTAAATCGGACGAAGTTATATATGGGAGCTATATCCAAATCTGAACCGATCTCGATAAAATTTAGCAAATGTATTTCTGAGTTGTATTTGATATATTTCCCTAAATATTGTTGTTGCATAGTGCATTATACGGCGGCGGTGGACAAAAATAACAAATCGGATGAACAATATATATGGGAGCTATAGCTATATCTGAACCGATTTCGATCAAATTTGGCATACATATTTTCAGGTCTAATTTGGGTGTATGTGCAAAATTCCATACAATTCGAGCCGATATTCCACGTTTGGTGCACAATAAAAGGCAAATCGGACGAAGATATATATGGGAGCTATATCTAAATTTTGACCGATTATATTCAATTTCAATAGGGTTCGTTCTTGGGCCAAACAAAAGATCTTTGCAAAATTTCATCTAGATCGGGCAATAAATGCGACCTGTACTTTGTTTACAAAAATACATGGACAGACGGACAGACGGACGGACGGACATGCATAAATCGACTCAGAATGTGATTCTATGCAGATCATCAAAAGGAACTATGGGTCTATCTCGTTTCCTTCTGCCTGTTACAAACAAATGCACAAAGACATAATACCCTGACCACCTTGTGGTGTAGGGTATAAAAACATTGAAAAATACATTTATATTATATGGGGGATATGCGATATCGTGGACCGATATAGCGCATCTTCGAACTTGACCTGACAGCAGACAAAAGACTGATCTGTGCAAAATTAGCTTTCTATTATTATTCGTGTTGAGTCGATAGTGTTTACAACAGATGGAGAGACGGACGGATATGGCTAAATCGTCTTAGATTTTTACGCTGATCAAAAATATATGGACTTTGTTTGGTCTAAAATTATTATTTCGATGAGTTACAACCGGTTTGTGTAACTCGAATCCACATGTTCCATCTGACCGGCTGATTGATTTTGATTGTGTCTCAAAAGGGTTTCTCTACCTCATTTTCATAACAATTTCCATATATCTACCCAGATACCAACAAAGACCTCAATATCAGGATTAGAGCTTCACCTGTTACCAAACCATTTAGTACAATTATGGTACGCATATCCCAAACCAGCTCCTTCTCTAAACCATAGACAACAAAAGTGACATCCATATCAAATATCAGAATTTAAGCTATGTCGCTTTACTCAATACCATATTTAGTACTTTTCCTACAATTATTGTATATATTTCCAAAACCACCTCCATATCTCATTTCCAGATACCAACAGAGACCTAAATAGCAAATTCGAGGATTCCCGCTCTATCCCTTCAACCAATACCAAAATTTAGTAACATTTAGTACCTTTCGTATAATTTTAGTACTCTATTGCAGAACCGTTCCATATCTTAATCTTAGACAACAATATCTATATCAAATTTAGTACTATTTAGTACTTTTCGTACAAATTAGTACACATTTCCAAAACCACCTTCCTATCTCAATTCCATATACCAACTGAGACCTTAATATGAAATTTCGGGATTGCAGATCTATCCCTTCACACAATACCCAATTTAGTACCATTCAGTACTTTTGGTGTACAATTGTGAAACGCATTTTTCTCCCCCATATCTTAACCACAGACTCCAACAGTCACATTCATGTAAAATGTCAGGATTCAAGCTCTATTTATTCACCCATTACCAAATTTAGTATTTTTCGTACAATTTTTGTACACATTTCCAAAACCCCCTCCGTATCTCAATCCCAGATAGCAACAGAGACCTCAATATGAAATTTTAGAATTCCAACTCGATTCCTTCACCCAATACCAAATGTAGTACCACTTTGTACTTTTCCTACAATTATAGTACACGTTTTCGAAACTAACTCCGTATGTCCAGGCTCCACATGAACAACAACTCTTATACCAATTTTCAGATTTCATGCACTATCTGTTCACCCAATACAAAATTATATATAAATTTTATATAAATTTTTTGCAAGTGACTATTTTTGTAAAATTATTTCATCATTGACAACATTGCCCATGCAAAGACAATATTCGCCTAAAAGTATGCTGAACATTTTAGAAATTACTGTTTGTTTTGTTTATGAAATATTAAATTCAACATATGCACTTGATTTGATGAAGCGATTCGTAGAAAGACTTGTCGATTTCAATGGGTCTATTTTTCAGGAAATTTTAAACAGCGAACGTGAATTTAATTGGACGAATACGAATTATCTTTCCGCCTTAGGAATAATTCAAGGAGGGTCAAATTCATCTGGCCAAAACTTTTATTCTTACTCTACACCTGGAACACATAGGGGGTAGTTTTTTTTATATAGTTTAAGTATTCATAATTTTAGTTTAATTGCTTTGTTTTCGTTTTTTTTTCTGTAGTTGTAAGTCCTAGTTATAAGTACACATCAAAATATAGATAAAACTCTATTCGCTACAGCAAGTGTCGGGAGCAAACACTATTTATCTTATTTATTGATTATTTGTTAAATACAATTACATATCTAAAGAATGTTTAAGCATGTAGCATACCCATTTTATATAATGATATTAGAATAATACATGATAGTTTTAAGTGTCCCTGATATTTATTGTTAATACCTTGTCTTTAATGAAATGAATGAAGTCTCAATAAATAAATAATAATAATAATAAATTTTACAAAAGGAAATTGTCCGTTGCTATTTATTGTAACTAAATTACTGATTTCTCAAAGACTTTAAAGCATTTATTTAAGAAAATGTCAAGAAACAAGGGAAACCCCTGTTTCCTGTCATGTTTGCTTTATACCCTCCACCATACTCTGAGGGGGATTATTAACTTTCTTTGTAACTTCGGTGGTAACTCCACGAAATACTCATGTCAGACCCAAAAAAGTATATATTCTTGATTTAGCGATGTCCGCCTGTCTGTCTGTTTGTCTGTTCTAATCACGTTGTCTTTAAACAAGTTCAGATAGAAAGCTAAAACTTAGCACACATGTGTATTTTGCCAGTAGGCAGGTTAAGTTCGTGAATGGTTCACGTATTCGTATAGCCTCGGTTCACGTTTTCGTATATCCTCCATATAATGGTATCTCTCAATATTCGGTATTTTTTATGATTTTAGTGACATTCTTTACCGGAATTGTTTTAAATTTCGTAGTTGTAGATCTTTATAGGTGTTACAACCTATGATAAAAATTACTTATGCAGGCTCACGTCTTCGTATAGCCCCTATACAACGGTACTTCTCAATATTCGGTATTTTTATGATTTTAGATACATTAAAGACCAAAATTGTATTAAATTTATTATTTTAAGTTCGTAATGAGTACTATAGCCTATGTCAAAAAATTGGGTATGCAGTCCACGTCTTCGTGTAGCCACACCCTTATTCGGTATTTTGATGGTATTAGTGACATCGTTCATCGAAATTGTTTTAAATTTAGTATTTGAAGTTCGAATCGTCACTTTAGCCTATGATTAAGAAATTACTTAAGCAGGTCCTCGTCTTCGTATAGCTCCATATAACGGTTTTTATTTAAAAGGTATTTTTTCCGTTTTTTTTTGATGTTTTTCGTTTTTTTTTTGAGTTTCTTCTAAGAGGTAGAGGGTATTAAAATTTGGACCGGGCGAAATTAATTATACCCTACACTACATAGTGGTAAGGGTATTATGTCTTTGTGCATTTGTTTGTAACATGGAGAAGGAAGCGAAATAGACCCATAGTTACTTTTGAGAATCTCCATAGTATCACTTTCCGAGTTGATTTATGCATGTCAGTCCGTGTGTCCGTCCGTCCGTCTGTCCATGTATTATTGTGAACAAAATGCAGGTCGCATTTATTATCCGATTGAGATGAAATTTTGCAAACATCATTTGTTTGGCCCAAGGACGAACCCTATTGAAATTGGAGATAATCGGTCAACATTTAGATATAGCTCCCATATATATCTTCGTCCGATTTGCCTTTTATTGTGCACCAAACGTGTAATATCAGCCCGAATAGTATGGAATTTTGCACATACAACCAAATTAGGCCTGAAAAAAAGAATGCCAAATTTTATCGAAATCGGTTCAGATATAGCTATGGCTCCCATATATATTGTTCATCCGATTTGTTATTTTTGTCCTCCGCAGCCGTAATATGCACTCTGTAACAACAATATTTGTGGAAATATATCAAATGCAGCTCAGAAATAACTTTGCTAAATTTTATCGAGATCGGTTCAGATTTGGATATAGCTCCCATATATAACTTCGTCCGATTTACCATTTTTTGTGCACCAAACGTCTAATATTTGTCCAAATGGGATGGAATTTGGCACATACGACCGAATTTAGTCTAGAAGGTAGTATGTCAAATTTGATCGAAATCGCTTCAGATATAGCTATAGCTCCCATATATATTGTTCATCCTATTTGTTATTTTTGTCCTCCGCAGCCGTAATATGCACTCTGTAACAACAATATTTGGGGAAATATATCAAATGCAGCTCAGAAATACATTTGTTAAATTTTATCGAGATCGGTTCCGATTTGGATATAGCTCCCATATATATTTTTAGCCGATTTCAAATTAATTGTGCACTAAATGGACAATACAAGTCCGAATTTAAAAGATACAAATGCTTCGGCATATTTAGTCCTTTGGACTTTAAATTTTAATTATAATCATAGCGTGTATGATTGATTTCTCCCATAAAAACTTTTAATTGTGATGCGCAGCTGTACTAAATTAGCAAAGTGGTGTAGGGTATCATAAAATCGGCCCGCCCGACTTTAGGACTTTCTTTACTGGTTTAACATGGAGTTCGAACTGGATTAACTGATATCAAACAAATCATGCTTAGTTGTAACATAAAGGTAAAATATTTTACTGCAAAGAATTCTCATAAAATGTTAAATTAAATTATATATATCCTTTGTAGTAGGTCTGTCGGTATAAAAACATTTCAATCAATTCAATTTTTTTACAAGTGATTATTTTCGTAAAATTACTTTCCCTCATTGACAGCATTGCCCATGCAAAGACAATATACGCCTAAAAGTATGCTCAATATTTTAGAAAGTACTGTTTGTTATGTTTACGATATATGAAATGCAGTTTTACAAAAGAAAATTGGCCGTTGATATTCTTACAAGTAAATTACGACTTTCTCAAAGACTATAAAGCATTTAATTAGAGAAATTTGCCAAGAAAAGAGGGAAAACTCTGTTTTTTGTACAGTAACACACATACCTAAATTGACAAATTTAATTGAGTCCAAGATATGGTTCAATACTCACCGAAAGAATTCTTCCGAGGAATGTGGAAAAATTTCATCTTCCTAGAATCGTAAAAAAAGAAGTCATTACTTTCTTTTATCCACTTTTCCTATGCCCATCAACTCACATCATAATCATCGTAGGTGCTATGTGTCGAACAATTTGGAGTATTCCATGAGTTGTTGCAACTCATCCATGGTATCACAGGTTGTAGAGAGTTAACGGCATAAATTAAAGGAACCGCAGCGATTACCGCATAGTATGACAGTGAAACAAAATTGTGTAGTAAAATTGAATAGCCAATACCTGTCCGGGTGTTCAAAGAAAATCAAAAACTATGGTTAACTTTTTAAAATTTAGTAGAATTAAAAGAAACAATATCACATATTTACCTTTAAATATGGGCGCTACACGAAACACCGATATCGTTCCGGATGATGAAAATTGTCCCAAAAATGTTTGTATACCAAATATGGGTATGGCATACAGCAGAACACCAAACAGATATGGCAGCAGTGCATATGCTAATAAAATTATAAAAAAAAAATAATAAAGAAAACAAATTAAAAAGAGGTTAATGGAGAGCAAGTTAGCATTTCAAGGGAACTATAAATCAATTTGCTTCGACCTTTCAATGATCTCTCTAATCATCTGCTTATAATTGAAAATAATCGCAGTGACGACGACTGTTTGTCTAATGATTTTCAATAATGAATGCAAACTATTTGATAATTATTTCATACTAATCTACTGTATTATCCGCAGAAGGGAGGGGTTTAATAGAAGTAGTTGGTTGAAGTTGGAAACTTTTCAGGGGAAAGTACAAGCTTGCCACTAAAAAGCAAGTAAAGATAATGATAACTTAGGCTTGCAGAATATTTTATACTTTCCACCATGTGAAAACTTGATTTATGACCAAATCGACTATCCTCACTGAGAACCCAAAATACCAAATTAAAGCATGATTTTTTGGTCGAAACCATCAAATTCTGAAAATTAGAAAAAACACAAAAAAAAAAATGGAGCAACATGCGAAAGGTTTAACTACCCATTAAGAATCTGAAATATCTAATTGCAGGGGATAACATTGGAAATTAAAGGCAAACCCTTTGAAATATGGAAAATATTCATACTATACCTAAATCTGGCTGGAATAGTCCATTCAAAACACGAAATATGTTAGCAGTAAGACCAACCGATAGATACCAATGTTGTCAATGTACGTACCAGAAGTAATGGGCAGATATTGCTCATCTCAGAATTCGATTTAAGTTTGGCAATAATATTACGATGTACCAAGTTTCGACCAAATCGGATACTCCCTTCGTGAGTTATCGTGCGCACCAGACGGACGGACGGACGGACATCGCTAGATCGACTCCAAATATCCTGAAACGGATTTGGTCGTCCGAGAGCTGTTAAAATTATTCCAGTGAGAGCTCATTATATTGTTTACAAGCGTACAAAAACATTTTGATGAGAATTTTCCAAAAAAAAAGTTATTTGTGATGGAATTCAAGCGTGATAGTGTAATTTCTTTATATTTGGCTGGAGAACCACAAGTGGCTATCGTTAGAGCACTTCAGCGTTTAAATCTGAATAAATCTTTTGTGTCTCGTACCATCGCCCGTTACCATGATACTGGTAGCGTAGCCCGACGTCAAGGAAGTGGACGAAAAAAACAGCAAGATTAGTGGAAATGGTTCGAAAAGTAAAGAAGCGAGTTGATCGACAACAGCGTCGCAGTGGCCGAAAAATGGCTCGTGAAAAATGAGCTCAGGGTGGCTAAAACATTCGTTTTCCAGCAGTTTGTAAACAAACAAAATGATCGGGTTTACTTGCTACAAAGGTCAGCTGAAAATGTGCACCTTCGGTTGGCCACCAGAACTAAAGCGTCGGCCATGGTGATGGTGTGGGCCGCCATAACAGCCGATGGTTGCTCTCCGCTCGTATTAATCGACCGTGGCATCAGAATAAATGCCGAAAGGGTGTATTAAAGTCCTGGGCACGCAAACATTTTGGCCGCAGACCTTGGACATTCCAACAGGACTCAGCACCATCGCACTCAGCACGCGCCACCCAAGAATGGTTACAAAATGAGGTTCCTCGCTTCATTTCCAGCGCACAATGGCCATTCATTTCCAGCGCATAATCATGTCAGACCCAACAAAGTATATATATTAGCGAATATATAGCGAAGTCCGTCTGTCTGTCCTTCTATCTGTCTGTTTTAATCACGCTATCTTTCGAACGAATTGAGATAGAAGGCTTACATTTTGCACACATGCTTATTTTGCCAGTATTAAATGGGTCATGTAGGTCCACGTTTTCATATAGCCCCCATATAACGGTACCTCCCTATATTCGGTATTTTGATGATTTTAGCAACATTATTCAATGGAATTGTTTCAAATTTAGCATTTGAAGTTCGTAATGAATGCTACAGCCTCTGACATAAAATTGTCTATGCAGGTTCAGGTCTTCGTATAGCTCCGATATAACGGTACCTCCCTATATACGGTATTTTAAATATGCTACATTATACCCGTTTATAATGTGGTAATGACTTATAACAAATAATGCATATGTAGGTCCACGTATAGACCTCAATATAGCGGTTATATTCGGTATTTTTAAGATTTTAACAGAATTTTTAAGGGATTTTTTTTTTCTGAAAATTTCCAAATTGGTTCCAAATGGTGGAGGGTATTCAAAGTACTGCCCGGTCCAACATACTGCTTTTTAACTTGTTTTATCTCACCCTGTACATATTTTCAACCGATGTCGGGTAAATTGTGCATCAAATGGCCAATATCGGTCAGAATGATTTGAATTTTGGCACATCTGACCGAATTTAGTCTAGAAGCAAGTACATCAAATTTGGAGAAAATCAGTTCAGATATAGCTATAGCTTCCATATATATGTTTCTTCCGACTCCACAACAATGAACTTTAATACCAGATATAAGATACAGCCCAAAAAACCCTCTGCCAAAATTTTATCAAGATAGGTTTGATTTGGATATAGCTCCCATACGTACATTTATCCAAATTCAGGTTTAGCACAACCGACTTGATTCATCCTAGAAACAAGTTCATTTGAAGAAAATTGATTCAGATGAAGCTCGCCTATATATGTTTCATCCGATTTTGAGGTTTTAAGTTCCTCACATGAGTAATATGCACTTCACAAGAATTATATTTGGTACCATATAACTTATGGGGCTCAAAATACCTCTGTAAAATCCTATCGAGATCATATTAGATTTTGATATAGATTTCATATATATCTTTATCCGATATCAGGTTTATTGTGGACCAAATGGCTAATATCAACCCAAATGGACTGAATTTGGCAATTCTGATTTTACGGTTATTTTCACCGCATATATAATATTAGTCCAAATTTGATCATTTTTTAATTTAATTTTAATATTCAACCGAATTTTTCCATTTGGTGAAACTCGATATTGCTCCAACAAATAGTTTTTAATATGATCCTTCTCGAAGTCATAAAATGCACTATACAACAATGTTTTTGGTAGTAGAGGGAAAAAGGCCTCAATCAAATTTTCTCGATACAGAGTTTGATATAGTTCCCAAATTGTGACTTCCCTAAAACCAACTTCACATAAATTCCCAACGCATTTTTTGGTTACGGGAGCTCTACTAAATACGAATAGTGGTGTAGGGCATCATATAGTCGGCTTCGCCCGACTTTTGACCTTCGTTACTGGTTTACTTCTTAAGAAGTGAACATTAAAAAAAAACCAGTAAAGAAAGTCCTAAAGTCGGGCGGGCCGATTTTATGATACCCTATACCACTTTGCTAATTTAGTTGAGCTCCATATAACAACTAAAAGTTTTTATGGGAGAATTCAATCATACACCCTATGATTATAATTATAATTTAAAGTTCAAAGGACTAAATATTCCGAAGCATTTGTATATTTTAAATTCGGACTTGTATTGCCCATTTGGTGCAAAAATAATTTGAAATCGGATAAAAATATATATGGGAACTATATCCAAATCTGAACCGATCTCGATAAAATTTGGCAAAGATATTTCTGAGCTGTATTTGATATGTTTCCCTGAATATCGTTGTTACGGAGTGCATATTACGGCTGTGGGTAACAAATACAACAAATCGGATGAACAATATATATGGAAGCTATAGCTATATCTGAACCGATCTTCACCAAATTTGGCATACTACCTTCTAGACTCGGTCGTAAGTGCCAAATTTCATCCGATTTGGGCAAATAGTAGACGTTTGGTGCACAATCAAAGATAAACCGGACGAAGTTATATATGGGAGCTATATCCAAATCTGAACCGATCTCGATAAAATTTTGCGAAGGTATTTCTGAGCTGCATTTGATATATTTCCCCAAATATTGGTGTTACAGAGTGCATATTACGGCTGCGGAGGACTGAACTAACAAATCGGATGAACAATATATATGGGAGCTATAGCTGTATCTGAACCTATTTCGATCAAATTTGGCACACTTATTTTCAGGCCTAATTTGGTTGTATGTGCAAAATTCCATACAATTCGGACTGATATTACACGTTTGGTGCACAATAAAAAGCAAATCGGACGAAGATATATATGGGAGCTATATCTAAATTTTTACCGATTATCTCCAATTTCAATAGGGTTCGTCCTTGGGCCAAACAAATGTTGTTTCCAAAATTTCATCTCAATCGGATAATAAATGCGACCTGCATTTTGTTCACAAGGATACATGGACAGACGGACGGACGGACTGACACGCATAAATCGACTCACAAAGTGATTCTATGCAGATCATCAAAAGGAACTAGGGGTCTATCTCGTTTCCTTTTGCCTGTTACAAACAAATGCACAAAGACATAATACCCTGACCACCTTGTGGTGTAGGGTATAAAAACAAATGAAAGGGTACGATGAAAGTATTCCTTTGAATTTATATCTGTTTTTGGTCGAATCCTATTGGGCTCTACAGAGACCTACGTTAAAGTTTGGTTCTATAATGACAATATTTGTAGTTTTTATCTACTGAGAAAGAAAATACCAAATAATAGATTTTAAAAAAGCTCTACTTGAAACTGTCAAAATACCTAAAATATCAAAAATTTGGAAGTTCCATTACATATGGTCTATACATATTTGTGGACCTTCAGAAAATTTATAAGGGAGAGATTCTGTGAGCCCTGAAATGTTAAGTTACTCATGATTGGGTTTAAAATTGTGGTCTATACCTTCAAAATACCGAATATTAGGAGGTAGAGTAATATGGGACCTATACAAAATAGTAGAGCAGTCTTGAAAAGGTTAGCCATGAAGAAATTATATCTATTCAGGACTCTAAATGTCCAGTTAAATAAGATTTGGTTAAAAATTGTGGTCAAAAAAATTCAAAATACCTGAAATCAGGAATTAATGTTATATAGGGGGGTTATAACGAAACGTGGACCGATATGGCCCATTTTTAATATCAGACATACTAGGGATAATATAAATGTCTGAGCAAAATTTCGAAGCGATAGAATGCTTCCCTGAATTAATGTTCGTTTTCAAGGATCTCACCCCCACTGTGCGGCGATTTTGAGGAATTCTTTGGAACCGCGTGCCTTCAGTAAAGCTCTTTGCATATTTGCCATTTAAAATTAGCTTATTCCCAAAAGTAGCATCACAAAACTGAGAGATCATAAATTTTATTCACTTTTATCAAAATTAATTTGTTGACGCCTCCTAAATAAAATTGTTTGCAACAAAAAAAAAAAACAATAACAATTTGTCCAATAAATTTTGTAAAAATATTTACTCTTTTTCCGTGTGATGAGCAGAGAAAAACTAAGAAAATATATATGTGAACGTGTGTGTGTGTGTACTTACCTCCCGCAAACATGGAAACGTACAGCGCCAATTCTGAAAAGACAATGGATCCGAATGCATGGCTGGTACAGGAAAAATAAAAATCAGCTGCTGTCGACCAGCGACCCCGCAATTTGTCATATTTGAAAGGTCGCTGCAGTGTGTCGTACGCCGTTGTGGTCGATGCAATAAAATTATTGTTCAGACCCAGTGTGGATGGGGGACAGCCGGGTGTTAGAGTGTCATCATCTTCCCCACACTCCCCCACCATAGCTACCTCGGTTGCATTGACATCTGTGTCATAACCATACTCATCGTGTTCAAGTTCATGTTTGTGGTTGTAGTTGTAGTTGGAGGTGGGTGTTGTTGAGGCTGGTGGTGATGGCGGCACTGATGCTGTTGTATCCGATATAATGCGAGTACAGTTGCTTAATTGATTTTTGGCTTCGGTATAGAACGATTTCATGGTATATCAATGTTAGGACACGGTCTCCACAACTTTTTTTTCTAGGAACTCTGTCGGATGATCATTTATGTCTCTGATTTCTGTGGCTCTGCTGCACTTCGAAGATGTCGCATTCAATTTCAATTTTGACTTTTATTACCATAAATTGAGACCCCCTGCTGTGGATTGTACTTTCGTTCCGTCTGTTTATTTTATGGAGTGCCACTTGCACGACAAATTATGTTAATTTCTGTAAAGTAGTCTGAGCTTGAGTCTGAGAATTTGTTCGTTTAGACTGGGGGGTATCTGTCGCCGTTGTTGTTGTTGTCGTTGATCTCTCGCGTTGAGGTTAAAACTTTTGTTGTGTTTGACTTTAAATTGTTTATTGTTGATCGATTAAAGCTGCTGCCGATGATGATATTGTTGTTGCTGTTGTTGTCGTTTTTCAAATCATTGTCATCATCATGATTAAGTTATATTTACAATAGCAATTAGTTGTTGTCTGAATTAACAATTCAGTATTTCTCATTAGCTGATCGTTACTTTGTATCCATTCTCTGATCTTGTTATTGTTGTTGCTCAAACAATGTGAAACCTATAGTTCTTGGAAAATGGAAAATAGATATGTCAAATTGAATAGAAGTGCAGGGGTAGGACAGTTGTGTAATTTTACGTGATTTGGCAGAACATTTTATATTGGGCGCCACAGATTTGTGTTTTATGTTAGTTCAATATTTTAATCAATCTTCGGATTTTTATACCCTCCACCATAGTATGGAGGGTATTATAAGTTTGTCATTCCGTTTGTAACACCTCGAAATATACATTTTAGACCACACAAAGTATATATATTCTTGATCAGCATAAAATTCTATGTCGATTTAGCGATGTCCGTCCGTCTGTGGAAATCACTCTAGCTTCCGAACGAATTGAAGTAGATTGTTAAAATTTTACTCAAATGTATGTTATGTCTGCAGGACTTTTGGTATTGAAAATGGGCCATGTAGGTTCACGTTTTGGTATAGCCCCCATATAACTGTACCTCCCGATATTCGGTATTTTTATGATTTTAGCGACATTATTCACGGAAATTGTTTCAAATTTGGTATTTGAAAATTGCCTGTGCAGGTCCACGTCGTCGTATAGCCCCCATATAACGGTACTTCCCGATATTCGGTATTTTGATGATTTTAGCGACATTATTCACAGGAATTGTTTTAAAATTTGGTATTTTAAGTTCGAAATGGATACTAAAGCCTAAGACAGAAAATTGTGTATGCAGGTCCCCGTCTACGTAGAGCCCCTGGTACCTCCCGATATTCTGTATTTTTATGATTTTAGCGACATTATTCACGGAAATTGTTTCAAATTTGGTATTTGAAGTTCGTAATGGATACTACAGCCTAAGACAGAATATTGTCTGTGCAGGTCCACGTCGTCGTATAGCCCCCATATAACGGTACTTCCCGATATTCGGTATTTTGATGATTTTAGCGACATTATTACCGATTTTTTTTAAGTTTCGTATTTGAATATTGTAATGGCTTATGACAAATGTTACCTATGCAGGTCCATGACCCTAATATTAGCTTTTATATTCGGTATTTTTAAGATTTTAACAAAATTTTTAACGGATTTTATTGTTTTTGAGAATTGCTAAATTCGTTCCAAATGGTGAGGGTATTCAATGTTCGGCTCGGCCGAACTTACAGCTTTTTTAATTGTTTAAACCCTACAACACTATGTGTTGGAGGTATTGGGTCAAAAATTAAGTAACACCTCGAAATATTGGTTTCCCACATAGTAAAGTATATATGGATCTTCCTATCTCACCGAGATGAGTCGATCTAGCTATGTATGTCCGTCCGTCCGTCTGTCCATGTTAATTTGTAATCACTTTTCAGGTCGCAATTACGGTGCGATCTTCACGAAATTTAGAATGGAGGTGGGGCTAGGGCCAGAATTGAAGCTTAGTGCTTTTGGAGATGATCGCATAACAGTTAGGGGTTGAAATGGAAAATTTTCGTGATTTTGCAGTTGCTCCACAAGTCGCAATTATAGACCAATCGACGGGGAAGTTAGCATGGGATTAGAGCTTAGGGCTGGGCAGAAGTCTTCCAATTTTAATGGTCATCGGATAATATATTGTGGATAAAATAGACCATAATATTTGTGTTAAATAAAAGTCAAATTGTTTAATTAAACCGCGGATATTTCTAATCCAGGCGAAATCACAGATATACGAACAGGTCAAGTCTGACCGTTACGTAGATGCCTATAGAGAAAATATCGGATATATATAGCGAAATATATATAATGTAAATATACAAAGGAATTATTATATCTCAAGAATGACTGGACCGATTTTGACAAATTTGGTCAATTCAGAATGCCCTTTTGGCATAAAAGAATAAAATCTAAAAAAATCGCATAAAAAGATGCCAATAATGATGTCAATATAGAATTTGTAGTATTTTGTGACATTTTTTTAATTTTTTCATATTTTTTATCGCATGCGATTTTTTCACTTTGTCTTATAATATTGAAGTATATATTTTGTAATATTTTTGAACTTATCGTCGATTCTCACGAAAATTTTCACAAGGGAAGAGTTGGCTCAGTAGGGCTAGGCCTTTTGTTTTCAATGATGCTCGCAATATATTTAGGGGTTGAAATGGACCAGCAACTAAAAATGTTCCTGATTTTGCAGCCGTTATAAAGACCACAAAAAAAATCCGAAGGACACGAAATCTCGCAAGAAATTAGAGTTTAGGACAGCGTGTAGAATGGACCACTACTTTTGTGTGAAAAAAATACCAACATTACTTACAGGTGATATTCGAAATACACAAAAGGCGAACTTCTGGCTTTTTTATGCTGATTTCGTTGATGAATTTAGCGAAATATCTTAGACAAGCAAATCATATAGATGAGTCTAAATTTGGAGATAGAGATGGGCCTCTTGCTTTTGCAGATAATTGCAAAATATGTAGGGGTTCAAATAAACCAAAAAAATAAAAAAAATCCTGATCACACAATTGCAGCTAATCGACTCGCCTGAGATGAAAGTTTAGGACAGGGGAGAATTCTAGCATTTTCAAAGAATTCTAGCATTTAGCTGTAAACTGGACCACAACAACTAACAGCACGACGCAGTGCGTAAGTATTGAGCAAGTGTCCCTGGTCAAAATGCTAAGGGTAATATCTCGGCAGTGGGCATAATTTAGAAAGCGAAATTTTCCAAAGTGAATTTGGACATAAGGGGGCTTCTAACATATTGTAGTGTTATAGGGTAGCCGATTTGGTAGGGGATGTACAATTTTATCCCGACCAACTTACAAATTGTAACTTGGAAACCAAAAAAGTTGTAGTTATGTCTAGAATGACTGGTTGACTGGGCTTTATCAGTTCACGCTTTGGTATACTCCAATATGAAATTACCACCGATTTTCCGGTTTTTATACCCTGCAACACTATGTGTTGGGGGTATTATAAGTTTGATTGGGCCAAAATTTATGTAACACCTCGAAATATTGGTTTCCCATATAGGAAAGTATATATGGATCTTCCTAGCTCGCCGAGCTGAGTCGATCTAGCTATGTATGTCCGTCCGTCCGTCTGTCCGTCTGTCCATGTTAATTTGTAATCACGCTACAGGTCGCAATTATGGTCCGATCTTCACGAAATTTAAAATGGATGTGGGGTTAGGGTCAGAATAGAAGCCTATTTCTTTTGGAGATGATCGCACAATGTTTAGGGGTTGAAATGGACCAAATACTGAAAAAATGTCGGATTTTGCAGTAGCTATACAGGTCGCAATTATAGACCAATCGTGCGGAATTTCGCATATAGCTAGAGTTTAGGGCGGGGAAGAAGCCTACCAATTCGGGTGGTCATCGGATAATATTTAGCGGGTAAAATAGACCATATCTTTTGTGTTGAAAAAATTCAATATTTTTCATTAAACCGCGAATATTTTAAATCCCGGCGAAATCACGAAGCTATGACAAGGTTACTTCTGACATTTACATTGATGTTAACATCCAACAAATCGGATATATAGCAAAACATGTGCGATATATATGTCTATCAAAGAAGATATGCTTGAAAGATCTCTTATATGTCGAGAACGGCTGAACTGATTTCGACAGTTCTCATTAATTTAGAATGACCTCTTGACAGGAAACATAAAACGTCTAAATAATTCCTCGACTTTTAATAATTCCTTTCTGGTTTCTAATAAATTTAATTTAAAGGCGGAAAAATTACTTTGTTTTTGGTCCACCTGTCATTCCACATTCCCAACATTCGAATTTAGTGAAATTTAATTGAAAAATGCATTACTTCGACCATTTTTTCTTTACATTTTGTTGAATTTTAAAATAGTAATTATGAAATTTAAAATGTAATTTATAGAGAAATGTCAAAAAAGACTTTAAACTGAAAAGAGTCACAAAATTAATATAAACCTGCTTGACTTTTTATTAAAGTCCACTAGTGTCTTAATAATGGCAATTAATGTCGTTTCAGTCATTAAAAAGTCATAAAGATTGGGTCATCAAAACAGTCAACAATCCATACAAAAAAAAAACTATATTTTATGAATCTCTTTAAATTGAGATTTTTAACATTTTTATACCCTACACCACATAGTGGTAAGGGTATTATGTCTTTGTGCATTTGTTTGTAACATGGAGAAGGAAACGAGATAGACCCATAGTTACTTTTGAGAACCTTCATAGAATCACTTTCTGAATCGATTTATGCATGTCAGTCCGTCTGTCCGTCCGTCCATGTATTCTTGTGAACAAAATGCAGGTCGCATTTATTATCCGATTGAGATGAAATTTTCCAAACAATATTTTTTTTGGCCCAAGGACGAACCTTATTGAAATTGGTGAGAATCGGATCAAATTTAGATATAGCTCCCATATATATCTACATCCGATTTCGGGTTAAATGTGCACCAAATGTCCACTATCAGTCCAAATTACCTGAATTTTGGCACACCCAACCGAGTTCGGCCTAGAAGCAAGTATATCAAATTGGGAGAAAATCGGTTCAGATATAGCTATAGCTCCCATATATATCTTTCATCCGATATGATCTTTAAGTCCCTCACATTCCTACTATGCACTCCACAAGAATGATATTTGGTACCAGGTATTAGATGGAGCACAGAAATAGCTGTTTTAAATTTTATCGAAATCGGTTCAGATTTGGATATAGCTCCCATATATATCTTCATACGATTTCGGGTTAATTGACCACCAAATGGCCGATATAAGTCCAAATGGACTGAATTTTAGTACATCGGACCCAATTCAGCCTAGAAGCAAGTATAGCAAATTTTGGTGAAAATCGGTTCAGATATAGATATAGCAACCATATATATGTTTCGTCCGATTCAGTGTTTTAGTCCCTTACATTCGTAATATTCACTCCACAACCGTGATATTTGGTACCAGATATTAGATGGAGCACATGAATAGCTGTTTTAAATTTTATCGAAATCGGTTCAGATTTGGATATAGCTCCCATATATATCTTCATCCGATTTCGGGTGATTGACCACCAAATGGCCGTAATAGCATCAATTTTGG